TACTAAACCGCCGCTTTGATTGAAATTAATTTCATAATTTATTCGGACCTTTTCCCCTCGCCGATAACGAAGAAATTGTGCGCCGCGTATTCAAAACACCATGATACACCTCCCATCTCTATCAAACTAACACAGAGCTTACCTAGCGTAGTATCTTGGTGGACCTCTCTTCTACATCAGCAATGCCTCCTCGTAGGAAGCCACAGGCCCCTGCCGCGCGATCTGCAGAGGTACGGCAAATACTTCTCCGCATCTTGATAAATGTATCCTCTGCCCTTGCTGACAATTTTTGGTCTCCGTATAGGGTGCGACAGCGTCGAGAAGAGCAGCAGCGGGGCCTTCATCGACACAGAAGCGTTCATCCGTATCGAAACAGACATCAAATCCTACACAGCCTGAACCAAGCGTCGAGGAGCAGAATAACCAGGCCGATGAACACCCGCATGTACCATATCGCCACCGCGATCCTTTCGATGCGCTCCTAGAGCCCTTCTATTACAACAAGTCTTTGACTGATCCGATCAACACAGCCAAGGATAAATGGAATTTGTTACCGGCGTTCTTGAAAGTGAAGGGGTTGGTCAAGCAGCACATTGACTCATACAACTACCTCGTGGAAGTACAGCTGAAGAAGATTGTTGAATCGAGCTCTATCATCCGTAGTGATATAGATCACAACTTTTACATTAAGTTTACCAACATTTATCTTGGGGCTCCACGACGTGCAGACGAACAGCAAGATGTTGGCCCGGGATTTACAGGGTCGACCGTGAGTCCGCAGGAATGCCGACTCCGTGACACCACATACGCAGCCCCTATTCAAGTTGATTTCGAATATATACGTGGTCGTCAGCGTGTGAAGAAGACGGGCTGTTCCATTGGCCGAATGCCAGTCATGCTTCGTAGCTCGAAGTGTGTCCTGTCCGATAAGACCCCAGCAGAGATGACTGTGTTGAATGAATGTCCCTTGGATCCTGGCGGTTACTTCATCGTGAACGGTACAGAGAAGGTTATTCTCGTTCAAGAACAGTTGAGCAAAAACAGAATTATCGTTGAAACGGACCCGAAGAAGGAAATCGTGCAGGCGTCCGTTACTAGGTAAGCTCATTGTGCACCAATAGTTCTACCTATCCGTCTCTAATCGTTGTTACCAGTTCCTCCAATGAGCGCAAATCTAAGAGTTATATCGTCCTTAAGAAGGACAAACTTTACGTGAAACATAACGTGCTTAGCGAGGATATCCCTATCGTCATTTTGCTGAAAGCAATGGGCATCCACACTGACAAGGAGATGCTCCTTCTTGTTGCTGGTATCGATAAAGTGTATCAAGAGGACTTTGCGATTAACTTCGAGGAGGCTATTAAGCTCGGTATCTACACACAGCAACAAGCTTTGGACTGGATTGGCTCTCGAATCAAGATCAACCGCGGCAAGCAAAACAATTATCGCCGGACCCATGTGCAAGAAGCTGTTGAAGCCATTGCGTCTGTTATAATATCCCATATAGAGGTCAAAGACATGAACTTTCGACCAAAGGCAGTCTATGTTGCTCACATGGCCCGTCGCGTTCTTATGGCTAAGAACGATCCTTCGCTGGTGGATGACCGTGACTACCTTGGCAACAAGAGATTGGAATTGGCTGGCCAGCTGCTGGCCCTTCTTTTTGAGGACCTTTTCAAGAAGTTTTGCTTTGATATCAAAATGAATGTTGACAAGGTCTTGAACAAACGCAACAGAGCCGAGGCTTTTGATGCCTGGACTGTTATGAGCATGCACAGCAACCATATCACCCAAGGCATGAATCGTGCTATCTCGACGGGTAACTGGAGTTTGAAGCGTTTCCGTATGGAGCGTGCTGGTGTTACTCATGTGCTCAGTCGACTGAGCTACATTGCAGCACTGGGTATGATGACCCGTATTAGCAGTCAGTTCGAGAAAACCAGAAAGGTCAGCGGTCCCAGAGCTCTGCAGCCGTCTCAATTCGGTATGCTTTGTCTCGCAGATACACCAGAAGGTGAAGCTTGTGGTCTTGTGAAAAACTTGGCGCTTATGACCCATATCACGACTAATGACGAAGAGGGCCCGATAAAAAACCTCATCTTTATGCTAGGCGCAGAAGATATCTCCACTCTTGGTGGAAAGGAGCTTTACGGCCCTGGTTGCTACACCATCTCCATCAACGGAACACCGATGGCACTGACGCGTCGCCCGAAGTATTTCCTTAATGCTTTCCGGAGATTGCGTCGAATGGGCAGAATCTCGGAGTTTGTCAGTATCTATATCAATCATCACCAGCGTGCTGTTCACGTCGCTACCGATGACGGACGAATTTGCCGCCCCCTTATTGTTGTCGAGAACGGAAAGACTAGGGTTAGGGCGCATCACCTGAAGAAATTGCGCGAGGGAGCCATGTCATTTGATGACTTCCTTGCTCAAGGTTTAGTCGAGTATCTGGATGTCAACGAGGAGAACGACTCGTTGATCGCAATCTATGAAAAGGATATCACTGATGCCACGACTCATCTGGAAATTGAGCCCTTCACCATTCTTGGTGCTGTTGCCGGCCTGATCCCTTACCCACATCATAATCAGTCGCCACGTAACACTTACCAATGTGCTATGGGTAAACAAGCTATTGGCGCAATCGCATCGAATCAATTCCTTCGCATTGATTCAATCCTCTATCTCATGGTGTACCCTCAAAAGCCTATGGTGAAGTCCCGCACTATTGAGCTGACGAAATACGATCAACTACCAGCCGGCCACAATGCCATGGTCGCGGTCATGAGTTACTCCGGCTATGATATTGAGGATGCTTTAGTTCTGAACAAGGGGTCTGTCGATCGTGGTTTCGGGCGTTGTCAGGTGTTCAAGAAATCCGTTGCCAACTTGAAGAGTTATTCCAACGGCACCAAGGATATCTTGATGCCACCGGAGTATGACAATGACGCCCCCATACGGAAACATGCTCTACTTGAGAGCGATGGTTTAGCTGCAGTTGGCGAACAGGTCAATGCTGGCGAAGTCTACATCAATAAATCTACTCCTGATCAATCTCTCGCCTCCGGTTTTCCTGGCTCTGATATGGGTCGGCCAGTCAAATACACGCCTACACCTATGACATATAAGCTGCACGACCCTGCATATATTGATCAGGTTCTTGTCTCTACGACAGAGAACGAAAATCAACTCATCAAGGTGCTCACCCGCCAGACCCGTCGACCCGAAGTGGGTGACAAGTTCTCTTCTCGTCACGGACAAAAGGGTGTCGTGGGTATCATTGCGGACCAGGCCGACATGCCTTTCACAGATCAAGGAATCAATCCCGACATTATTATGAACCCCCACGGTTTCCCCTCTCGTATGACTGTCGGGAAAATGTTGGAACTCGTGGCCGGAAAAGCTGGCGTACTGGCGGGCCAGCATGGGTACGGAACTTGTTTCGGCGGCAGTCCTGTCGAGGAGATGTCCCAGATTCTTATCGACAAGGGATTCAGCTACGGTGGTAAAGACTACCTCACCTCGGGCATTACCGGCGAGGCGCTACCATTCTACGTCTTCACCGGTCCCATCTACTACCAGAAGCTCAAGCACATGGTTCAAGACAAGATGCATTCTCGCGCTCGTGGTCCTCGAGCCATTCTCACTCGTCAGCCAACGGAAGGTCGTTCCCGCGACGGTGGTCTCCGTCTAGGTGAGATGGAACGTGACTGTTTGATCGCCTATGGAACCAGTCAGCTTCTCCTCGAGCGACTGATGATCTCGTCAGATCGCCATGAGATCGATGTCTGCGAGCAGTGCGGCTTCATGGGCTACTTGAACTGGTGTCAGCGCTGTAAATCCTCGCGGAGTGTGGTCAAGATGGCCATCCCGTACGCAGCTAAGCTTCTTATTCAGGAGCTGATGAGTATGAATGTTACGGCAAGGTTGAAGCTTGAGGATGAGTTCCCAGAAACAAGGGGAATGTAAGTTAGGATTACAAAAGTAAAAAGGATCTATATGCGAGGATTTTCAAAAGTCAAAAAGAGGCGTTAATGTGGCTGGATTGTACATAACGTTTGCATGCATAGCGCACGGTGATTTTGGTTGACTTCTTGATGAGAACTTGAGATTTGTATAGAAATGATACATTGGTTCAACATAATTTTCTTTTAGCCCACTTCTATTCTTCTGCTAGGCAAGGAATAGCCTTGAACACTTTGACCCTTGTAATCTTCCCGCCTCCATGACGAGGGCTTGTATGTTCATTTTTGATGGTGTCACCCAACAGTAGCAATCAAGATTCTCAAAGCAGCACATCCACCACGACCCTAGTACTACAAGATATTCACATTACTATAGGTTTCACTCAAAATCTGAGATCATCATACGTAAATGTCTTGTGAGAAGACGAATTTGCATAAATTCATCTACGGTAGTTAGTATATAACCCTATCAGGGATCTGTCTAATAGTCGATATTCTTAGTCTTCTTTCAAATAAAACAAGACTTAATATAGACTATACATATGCGTGTCTAGCACGCAACATAGATTTTGAACTAGCAATCAAAGGCACCTAGTAGTATGAGGCCAACTAGCTCGAGGGTCGAATACCCTAAGGACTAACCCGGGTCGAAGCCGGCGGGGAAAGGGCTGCTCAAGAGGTTCAAGGAGATTGATCTTTGTCGGGGATGCAAGTCCTTTTTTCAGGTTTTCGTTTCTTGCACTCAAAGAAGTCTTTTTCGGCGAGATCGACCAATGTTTTGATTATTCTGTACAACGCAGGCGGAAATCCAAATATATAGTAATACAAAGGTCCCACAATATTGGAAGGACGTTGTCGTTGTCTGTGGGTATAATATCCCATGTAACTCTCAGCATAAGCAACTTATTATAAATTAAGGATGATGATGTCCTCTGAGTATCCCCATAAGAATATGTGATATAGATTACAAGTATGCCACACTCCCAGCAGCATAACCAATGCCGTCTAATAGTATTATATTTATACATACATATCCAAACCTTCAGCAAAACCCAACAACAGTCTACTGCTCACACCGATCCCACCAACAAATATCTCTTCACAATCCCCCAATACCTCTCTGGATCAGTTCTCATATGCGAAACATGCGGCGACCCCAGAAACTTCTCTCTCGTAACCACCCAACCCCTCGCTTCCGCATCGTCAGCATGTCTCTCGACATCCCGCCAATCCACCAGCTCATCCGCATCCGAATAAATATAGCATCGTCTCGGCTTCGCACCGTCACCACCACAGACCAGCCTCTGATCATTCATCGCCTTCCGCGCAACACTAACCGTATCTGACAACCCAACAAGGCGGCGCACAAGCGCCCCCAGCACAAAAAATACCCATAGCGCAATCTTACTGAACAAGCGCAAAAGCCACGGACCCGGAAGTGCGAACGAGAATGCCTTCATGGCGCCAGATACCGTCGCTACGCCTGGTGCACTGTCCAAGATGGTGGATGAGATGCGGAGTGGTCGGCCCACTGTCTTTTGGTAAGTGGCCAGGAGATTGATTGTGGAGAAGACGCCGCCGTTGGAGAACATGTGTATGAAGACTTGTTCTTGGTCTTTGGCTGTCTTTTCGGACGAAGAAGACGAGGAGAAAGAGGCCCGGAGAGCCTCGACGGCTGGGGAGAGGCGCGCTTGTTGCGCCTTCTTGCTGGATCGCGTCATGAAGTCCTTGGAGGAGCTTAGGATGATGATGATTCGGGCTGTGGGTGCTAGGCGGGTGTATTCGGTGACATATTTGGTTAGGGCTCGTGGAGGAGCGTTCATCCAGAATGCTAGGATGATGGTCTTGGGGGCGCTATTATTTGCAGATTGCGACTGGGGTTCTTGGATATAGATTGAAGGGGATAGTTTGGTGTATGCGGATAGGGGGTTTTCTCGGGTATTGAGTTGCGACATCTTGGTCGTGCTTTGGTTTGTTGAGGTTGTGAGCTTGACTTCGGGTGTGTTCTATGTCTACTGAACGGCGCGAATAAGGGGAAGAACCGGCGAAGAGAATTTAAAGGAGAATTAAACTTCCTATCTATATTAAAATAGGAGGGGGAAGTTGACAAGAAATCGATAAGGAGTCGATAAGGAGTCGATAGATCAGACACTAGAGGAGCACTAAATCACGGTCCTCGGCATTTTATTGTGATCTCTTGTGGTTCCTAGGGTGGAGCCGCCCTTCTCATTTTAAGGGGTCTTTCTAGGTTCTACTCCTTCGTATCCACAGCGTGCTTAACAGACTTGGGTCAAAGATCTCACTCAACCCTACCGTTGTTGAGATAAAAGTGATTCCGTATTTAACGCCAGCCCATACCACGCTATGCTCTATAATCAAGCCATCCTTGTTTTGCTCATAGTATTCTGAGACAAAGGAATAGAAACATCGAAAGAAATAACCAGGTAGTGCGCCAGTATTTCAAGGTTTCTCTTAGCACATGATCTCCTGACGGCACTATGCACCAACGTCACTTTTTCCCTGGACTTTAAGCCTCCTCCTCAAGCGCTGCATTAAGTGGGCGTTGCAGAGCCTCCGGTGTCCTTCTTTTTCCCTCTTAACGTTTGACCACTTCCCTGAAAGCGGGGCTTCTCGCCCTCGACAACCTGGCCGCTTTCGTCACGCTTCTTCACGGGCTTGATTGCATATCCAAAGAATAGCTGATTAGGCGGGAGCCGTAGCGGCATTGGCCCGTTGGTCCGCCTGACAGGTGGAGGGTGTTGGGGGTTTGTGGCACCGGGTGTTGGAGTTGAGGCCTTTGGGGTTGGAGCCTTACTTCCCTTCTTCGCATTCAAGCGCTGTCCACCGATAAGAAAGTTTGACGACACCGCTTTTGCTCCCGCTGCGGCATCGGTAGATTCAGGTGCAATGGCGGCATAGTTAATTGATTGAGCCATGGTTCCATGGGGGTGAAGTAATCCGCCAGACGGAAGCTTGGTTGCGCTTACGCCACTGCGGGGAGTACTAGTACCACTTGGACGTTTGGGTTCCTCATATCCTACAGGAGGGGCAAAATCGACTTCCAGATCTGTTTCGAGGACGGAAATGGCGTTTGAATTGGTGGCTGGCTTGGTTTCCAAAACCGCCATCTCATAAACTTGATCATTGTAGGCAAATGTGAAGACATCACCCTTTGTCAGACATGAAAAGTTGCGGAATGCATTCTCAAGCACAGCCTTAGGATCACTTATATCTAGAAATGACGTTGATTGGGCTTGAAGTTTGATGAACTGGCCCGGAGGAAGATCGGTCGATTTGACTTGTACTAGGTCACCCGGTTCGAGGAGGAGGGTTTGCATGAGCTACACATAACACTTTACATCAGTATGGTGGCGTTTAATATGATATAGCGCGCTATTAGACCAGAGGAAATAAGTGCTAGTGGACAATCTTACCCAAAATGGCAAATAGATTTTCCCCTCCTCAGCGATGAACTCCAACACACCCGCATGGGTCAATCTTTCTCGTGCACCATTATGCAGCTCGAAGAGCATAGGGTATGTGATATGTAGCCGAGTTAATTTGTCCAAAGCACTGGGTGGCATGATGACTTTACCGCCGTGGTTGACGTTCTCTCTCTCTGGGCCAGGCATCATGGCGACGGGGTAGCAGCGGTAATACTCGTCGAAACGGCGGGTTGCACCTCCGTGGCGGAGCATGGAGGAGCTGAAGACGCCATCCATGGGATCATCCTCGTAGTAATTAGAGCGGAACTGCAAAGATCAGTACATATAGAAGTTAACCACAGCGGGACTTCTCTGAAGCTCACCATAGTGGGAAGACGCAGTAGCTGACACTAAAGCACCGGTTGAACAATGCCCTAATGGGGACGCAGGGTCTAAGCTTTCTTTTTCTATCTAGAGACAGATAGATGAGCTTTCGTACTGGTTGATCGGAGAGACCAGGATGTTCAGATTGCACGGCCAAGAAGGTCGCTAGTAGTTAAGTTGAAGCAGTCTTATCGCCCGCCCGCAGTGACGCAAATGGCTCCGCAATGATTTTCCGACCCGACCCCATTTGTACAGCTTCAGCAACAGAGTCTCTTCCCATAAAAGCTCGTCTCCAGCGTCCCAAGTACTATCGAGTTCTGTGAGAGCTCTTAGGCTAGTGCGATCGCTTCATTCACATTTTTGTGCTTTGCTCTACGGTGACCTACACCCAGTTTTACAATTTATGTCCGGCTTTCAACCACGCCCTAAGCGGGCTGGTGAAGACTTCACCCGCACACATCAACATCCCGAGGACGACCCGAATGAACCTTCTGGCAAGAAAGCTAGGTTTGATCTCCGGAACCCCTCTGCTCTTGCTCCCGATGCGCTCGAAGACGATGCAGTGTTAGACGCGGACGAGATCGGTCGGCGCGGACAGAAAGTACGTCGCAAAGCAGTGAATCTTGATGGCTACGACTCCGATAGCGAAAATGAAGGGTTTGATGCGCGAGCCGAGGCCCACGCGAAGAAAAAACAAAAGGAAAATGCAGCAGATGATGATGACATGTTTGCTGAGCTACAAGAGGACTTCGGCGCGGAAGAGGTCGACGCTGATGAAGCTTTAAAGAAGAACAAGAAGTCTGTGCGGTTTCTTCGAGACGACGAGATCGAAGGTCAGGTCGCGTCTTCCAAAGGTGGTGGCACGTTACATGCGGACTTAACTAAAGGCCCCGATGAGGTTGACGATGATGAAGCGGAAAGCGAGAGCGATGTCGCAGATGAAGACCGCGCAAGGGTTGATGAGGATATGGACGAGGAATTGGGTGCCGGGTCGAAGAAAAAACATGCGCCTTTACTTGATGCGTTCAACATGCGAACTGAGCAGGAGGAGGGCAAGTTTGACGATCAAGGAAACTATGTACGGAAGGCCGTAGACCCTGATGCTATCTACGATTCGTGGCTTGATGGCGTGTCAAAGAAAGATATTCGGCGTGCCAAAGAAGCCGCGGAAAAAAGAGAAGCTGACAGGAAGGAAAAAGATCGGATGGACGATAGTGTGCTAACAGGAGACGCCTTAAAGACCCTTATAACTCACCTTGACCGAGGCGAAACTATACTGGAAGCGTTGGCTAGGTTAGGAAAAGGGGCTCAGAAAAAGCCCAAATGGCAAAATAAACGCAATAAGAACAGGTCGAAGCAGAATGGGGACACAGAGGATGCGGAGATGACGGAGGATGACCCCAAAGAAGTCGCTCGCAAGCAAGCGATCAATGCGATCACGGGGGCCGCAGATATCCTTATGACTCGGGGCCAAGCGGAAATCTACGATACAGAACGCGAGCTACTCACTCGTCAGTATCGCCGTGAGACAGGCGAGGATTGGGTTGATCCCCCTTCGCAAGGTACAGACCCTGTAAGTGGCGAGCAGGCCCCTGTAATGTGGGAATTTCGTTGGTCGGACGCCCGCGATGGTGGGATTGTTCACGGACCGTATGACTGTGCGACGATGGAGTCGTGGAAAAATGCTGGGTATTTCGGTGAGGGTGTCGAATTTCGAAGAACAACAGACGACGATGGATGGAATGCTCAGGCCAGTTTTGTACAATAATGGAAGCTAAGGATGGGTGGGAGCCGTAGGTATAGCACTAATGGATACCAAGCATTGAATATGAACATCATGATTATCATTCGAGCTTAAGCCCCCTTTCGATAAATTCCAATTCGAACCCAAATTGCAAAAGTACCCATACAGAGCTCTGAACAAGCGCCAGCATTATCATACATAATTTGATACTGCAAAAGAAAACACAGGGAATAATAATAGGAAGGAAAACAGATCACGTCGCACTATTTGTTCCTTTTCGCACGTCACCTGGAATGCTCCGCCATTCGAACACCAGAAATCACCCAGAATGTCTATATCGGAATGAATCTATGAGATCTCCATAGCGTCTCCTCCATTTGCTGCAGCAGAGAAGGTTACATTGCCTTGGTCACTAATGAAACGCTGCTCATATGCATTCACAAACTTGACGCTCCGAGCGGGGTCATAGAATAGTCGGTAGCTGCGCTGAACATCGTCAATACTGACCTCTTTTGCCTTTCGCTTTTGGCTTAGGAGGTGAGAAGTAGTGATGATATTGCTGGCATATCGGAGGTTTGATTCTTGGCCAATCTTGGTCAGAAGTGCTAAAGCGTCCGGAGAGAGATCGATCTCTTCCTCTTGAGCTCTGATGGCCAGAATCTGCCTAATCTCATCAGCCGAGTAGGGTTGTGTGCTCACAATAACCACACGGTCAAGGAAGTCGAGAGGCAGTCCGTGGGGAGAGCTGTAGGTTGTCCCCCGAATGCGGGCTTGGCCGCGATTACTGGCCATGATGACAATTGGCGCAAGTTCAGCTTCCAAAGCACGGTTAATGAAGGAAAAGCATTCGATATCCAGCATATGAACCTCGTCAATGAAGAGAACACCAGGTATTATTTCCGCCTTGCCCTCTTCCTTCCATTCGGCGACCTTCGTGTTGATCTGATCCCGAACCTCGCTCCTGATTTCTCCAGTATCACCAGAAAAGAGAGCCAGAAATCCTTGTGACCGCGAGTTGATGACATCAATCTCATGAAGACTCACGGTATGCACAATTTCCTTACGCACTTGGAGTTCGCCCTCAGGGCATTGCACGAATTTCGTATCAGCACCCATCGCATCATAATCCCGTGAACGTGCGTATGAACGACCCAACTTCGTAATTTTACCTGATGACTTGTCGATAGAGATTATGTCGCCGGCCATCACACGCTCTTTAGTCATGGAGTCAATCATCTTAGTACCCATGTCGTAGATTGTCTCCATGTCGGTGGTTTTGATGGTAAGTTTCCCTTGTTTATTACCCTGAGCGTATCAGCACGGACATGTTTTCTCGCCTGCAAGAATTTATGGTGACACTTACACCAGTGACGCTCCTGTCAATCTGAATCTCCACCACTTCACCTTCGATGATCTCACTTTCCTCCTTGATCCGAACGCCAATGGACTTGCGGAAAGCTTGAGTGAGTGCTTCGGTTTTCGACATTTCCATTGAGAAGATCTCTGAAGAAGCGAGCATTGTGAAGGGGACATCGCTCCCGAGAGACTGTGCCATTCCCATAGCAAGTGCTGTTTTACCTGTGCTAGGAGGCCCTGCAATTAACACTGCGCGGCCAGCGATCTTGCCTTCTTTGACCATCTGCAAGATTACGGCAGCGGCCTTTCGCGCTTTCTCCTGGCCCACAAGGCCCTGGGATGAGGTCCTAGGTTGTAAAGAATCGGCATCGACACCAAGTCCTCTAATATGCGAATGGGCAGCGATGAGGTTCAAGCCACGGAGTTCCTTGGTCTCCGCGACAGTCGAAATTTGCTATTTCTTCAAGATCAGTACCATAGTAGTGCAAAGATAACAATTTCTGTTTGATTTACCGCAGCCATTTTGAATATTTGGAATTGCGAGGCTCCCTTCCTTGAGCTGTTACAAGGTCTGCGCAGCACCTAAACTGTTCTGTGTTCCACGCCTTGTTCACGGGCTGGACAAAAGAGCTGCGAAGGGCAGAATACGTGAGCCTTTCCGCCGCCCGTGTCACCGCCCGGCAGAATGCAGTAAATTAGTTTCATGCACCATAGCTCTGGTTTCGCGTCAACAGCTAATCGGCCACTAGTTGCTAGGCAAACGAGTTCCATCCGAGTTTCTTTACCTCATACAATATTCACTCTCTATAAATGAGGTACTACCGGACTTGGTGAGATAAGTACGTCGAGATCTCCATCTTTGATTTATTTATGACCAGACACGGGCACTAGATTGGAGTAGATACGCTACTACCCATCAATGCATTATCTGCTTTCACTTTAAGTTTAAATATGCTTTACCTGTGACGCGCCTCATCCTGAGATGCATCTTAATCCACTCGGTCCATTAGTTTCTAAATCGCTGTGGATTTGTCGCCAAGATGAGCTCTGAGCACAAATTTACTTCCAATGCGCGCGACCCTCGCTTGAACAGACCGCCTCCTTTTGGAGCAACCTCGCTAGACACGCAATCGCGGAAGCTTTTCACATCTCCCAGTGCTTCAAGGCAATATGAACCTCGGGCTGATGCCCCTGGCGATCAGTTTGTACAACGGCTATCCGATTTGGTACAAGCCGCCGTAAAGACCGCTAGTCTCACATCAGAGAAGGAAATTATACAGAGGAAGCAAAGCACCACTGAAGGTCTCCTGAAGAGAGCGAAAGCTCAATCGAGTTTCCCTACTACTGCTGCTTTCTTTCAGCAAGCATGGAACGACGAAGACGGTCATCTGGCTCGTATAGATGGCGCGCTGAAAGAACACTTGTCGCGCTACGATCAACTGGAGAAAGTATTGAAAGCAAACTGGACGTCTTCTCTAATCGCAGGGCCTAGTCTGGCAGAGAAATACGATCAACTGAAAGAAGAGATCGAAACAACCAAGCAGGATGCTAAGCGTTCGAAAGACGAGGCCTCTAGCCTTCGAGATCAAAACCGCTCTTTAGAAGACACGCTCAAGAGCCTCCAGGCGAGAATGACTATGCTAGAGAAATCGCTCGAAAACCATGGAACATCCTTGAATAAGCAAACCAAAGACCATTCGTCTCGCCTTGAAGAAATTTCATTGGAATTCGAGAAGCGCTTGGAAAGTGTTTCAACCAAAGTAGAAGAAAGCATATCGACGAAGTTTCAAGTAGAAGTGGATGGATGGCAAAAGCAAAGAACATCCTTGGGTACAGAATTGGAGTCCCTGCGGACGTGCCAGGAAAGGTTTTCGGCTGCCATCGGTAAAGTTGACCAAACGACCAAGGAGCAGCAACAGAAAATATCTGATATTGAGTCGCTGGGTCAAAGATTAGATAGTCTTGATACCCGTCTTGGCTCTGTTGAATCTACGAAGTTGACGACGACAAATGAGTCAAACGTGGATAAAGTTTCTGCATCCTACCTACAAACTAAAGTTGAGAGCCTCGAAAGCATACTTAATCAATTGCAAGGTTTGCAAGAGATGAAGGATGATTTGCACTTTTCGGAGGTGGAAGATTTAAAGAAGTCACTAGTGCAAGCGTCTGAGGAGTTAGTGGGTGTGAAGAACAATTGCAACTTGCTATCGGATGAGGTGAAGACCTTGCGTGAATCAGATCCAGCCATTTCCCTACAACAAGTTGCCAATTTGTCGGGGTCATTGCAAAATACACAGCAGTTGGTGGAGACTGTTAGGGTGGGCTTACATTCTCTGGAAACCAGATATAACTCTCTCACTACAGAGCCATTGGCGAGGAACATGGTCGTCGCGTTGCAGGAGATGTACCCCTCTGCTAGTCAATTACTGGAACAATATTCTGGATTAAAAACGGTAGTTGATAACCTGCGTCAAAGCCAAAACACTATTATCAGGCAGACCCAGCAGGAAGCAGCTTTGCGCCTTGATGAGCTAAACAAGCTGAGAAATGACCATTCCAGTCTTTCGCAGTCACTTGCACCTCTTTGGGAGCGGCACGAACAGCAAAAAAGGCAAGATCCACCACCGAGCCACGAGGACATATACAAATTGCGAGCTGAATTGAACGCGTTATCTACAAATTTTGAGGGGATCATATCCAAATATGACTCCCAATTCAGGTCACGGAAACAGTCTGACGACCGTTTCATGGAAGGTTTACGTGACGAGCGCAACAAGTTCGATAGCCGTCTGAGCCAAGTGGCTAGCAATCTGGAGAAGTTGGCCAATGATGTTGAAGCAGTGCGGTCTGCCAATACTAGTGGTCTGGAGAAGCTGGCTAATGATGTCGGAGAAGTGAGGTCTGTCAATACTAGCAGTCTTGCAAATATTGAAATGCATGCTAGTGACATTAAGTCATTGCAAGATGACCTTCATGAACTCAAAAAGGCCACATCAGATCGACATCAAGCATTTATTGATCAACTCGACGATATCACGAAAGCGCACAGTGCGCATGATACGAACATTTCGTCACTACTTGACCGTATTAATGAACTTGAGCGGTCTGAAAAACTTCGACATGAAGAATTGCATGAACAATTGGGTGAACTTAAGAAAGCTGTGGAAGCAAAAGAGTTCCATCCTCGAGCAATGTCCCCAATCATCGTCGAGGATCAGGCTCCAAACCCTATAGATGATAGTCCCGCTGATCCAGAAGCGGCGGCAAGGATTCTGAACGTGGCTGAAACCAACCCTACGCTCGCATTACGGGAAAAAAGGAAGAAGAAGAAAAAGAGACCACGTCCTTCTGGTTTGTCTGAGGATGAAAAAACCCCCATAACAGCTCGACAAGAATCTCCCAGATCGCTTTCATCCGGAGCATCTCCGTTTGAACAAGGGGAGCCAACAGAGAATAAGCGACCAAAGAAGAAGAAAAAGCGCAAAATGGTATCCACTGAACCGATACCCCTCGACTAAGTAGGTACACAAGTTATGGTCGTTGACTCATTGGTTAGAAAGTTAGTTGTCTTATAACCCCGTTGGTGTCAGGTATGGTTGCGGAGGGAAATACTACGGAGTTGAAGGTGTAACAATAGCATGTCTGCCATAGGTGTAAAAATCCCACGCTCACCAATGTCTATTGGCACTGAACGTTGTGCCAAGGTTTTCAATACTTACTTGACGAGACGCGAGGCGCGCGAGGGCACCGGCACTTGATTGCAGATGGTGACAAGATCAGATTCAATGTATTGTGAATACGGCTGGATACCTTGTTACTGAGGTCGATCTTCTTTGTTCCGTTTATTCATCAGTTGGATGGGCTATTGATAAATTCTCATTCTTCGGCTCCAAATGGGTACGGAGTCTGTACATATCCGGAGGGCCATGCTTAATTCTATTAATACATATTTTCATGGTGTCTCTTGCAAAAATGTAACAACCTCTGTAGTATTTCTCGTCAGTCAAACTGCCATACATAAAAACTGGTCTCCAAATCAGTACTCACTTTGTCTAAAAGCTTCAGGATTTTCCGATATGAGCCAGTGGCCAGCTTCGACATCGGCTATCTGGGCTTTGGGAAAGAATTTCTTAATCGCAGGAATTGTATCGTCACTGACGTATCTGCTCTTTGTGCCCCTAACAAACAGCGTCGGACCGTCATACGTGGCGGAGCCAGACTCGGCATAAGGGAAACTAGCCATTTCACTCAAGGCATCTCCCAGGGTTGAAACAGGGACACGGAACTTCATGGCTCCATCCTCCCCACGAACTAGGTTGGTCAACAGGAATTGGCGGATAGGAAGGGACTAAGAACGTGTGGAAGATTGCGGTTAACATGACCCCAGCATTTTTAACAGGACTACTTACTTCCTCATAATCTTTGAGAATCTTATCTGCGTCAGACAGCTTTGCTACATTCTGGGCTTCGATATGTTGCATGCCCCGGACGTATTTGCCAAAGTCGCTCTTCAGCGGAGCGTTGACTGGGGCGTTGTCGACGGGGATAAGCGCCGAGATCAAACCGGGAGAGTTGAGTGCGACCGTCATCGCGGTTTTTGCGCCCCTTGTCTTAGTTAGAATAGTCACTCGAATCATGATTGAATTGCTGTAAAAGGGCAGGCGATATTCATACATGGAATGACCTATCATGACACACTTGTTCAGCTTCTGCTGATGGATGAAGTTGGCTACATCTTCTGCCATCGCATTGTACGTGTGCTCTTGGGAGTGGAATGACTGGCCATGATTCCTAAGGTCCTAATAATGCCATTGGCATAAGTACATGAACCCTCTCACTTCGGTATATCGCCGGATGAAAAACATACCAGGATAAAGACCTCACGCTTCAAATCACGTGCCAATGCTCTAACGATCCCTGTTAGTCTATATTGGAGTCACCAGTAGAAGGCAATAGGAATGTTTCAGATAATCCGGCCTAACATACTTGCTAATACTCCTATTGTTCTGCTTAGAACCGAAGAGCCCATGAAGGAAAACAATTGGACTCCGACTTGCTTCGTCTCTTTCAGGGCCGAAAACCTGATAAGACAGGTCATTCCGGAGCACCCGGGATGTTGAAAATGCGCGGAGACTAGATGTACCCCTTAGAGTCACACGAAATGGCAACATTATTGTATAAAGTCAATTGTATTTAATCTTGGATGAAGCTTGCGACTTGAAGTCATCGCGCATTTCCTGACAGAGCGTGAAAGCATGGTGACTAAGCAGGTTTAGGCCGATTCTGACCGCCGATCTTTTCAGGGAAGTTTATCATTGCCGAACATACTACTCCGTACAGAGTACCTAGTCCTTGTTATCGATATCGTAACTCTAAAATACGATTTTCTTTGTATATTTTAGCACCTTTTGTTGTATTAGGTTTTGAAAGCTTGTTAGGTCGATACACGCTGTAATGGTAGTATTTGCAAAATGCTAACAGAATGTCAATTACATAGAATATATTTCCGAAAGTTTGCTTTCCGAGCACCAAAAGGAAATCTGAGGAACAATATAGGAGCTTTCTGGACATATATAGGTCAGGACAAGCAATGATATAGGCGTTCTAGAAATCTATTGTTGGATTATAACAATTTTTTTATGCGTTTATCATATCACATCGTCACAATGCAAGTATATATACAGAGTGAAAATCATTGGCTCCAGCAAAACATAGCCCTTCCAAGCCCCAAACTCCCGCCTTAAGCATCCAAAAGAAGTGGGACCTTCTCGAGGAGATGGTTAACGATAGCGTCAGGACCGTACTTTACTTGTAATCCTTCGGGGATGGCGTGGGTCTTAATGTCAGGTTTAATATCCCTCGCAATGGACTGAATTAGTTGCGCCTCCTCATCGGTCCACATAGAAGCACTGAACTATAGGGCTATCAGTCTTTAACTCATCTCATAGCTTGAGAAAGTCCCGCAGGGACTCAAAACGACAGGGATTCCTACCAGAACATCAGGCATAAATTCCCTCACTTTGGGTCCGACTTCCTCGATTGCTATAAAATTATTAATACTGTGTGTCACACACGCATACATATATTTGGCACCACAGCCACTCACTTTCGCAGTTAGCTTCGTAGATGATGGTATAACGGTCCTTGAGAGCCTCGACCATCCGGCCGATAAGCAGCTTGGCTCTCTCGGGAGCAGTGTTGACAGTGACAAGGCGGAAAGGTCCTTTAGGGGCAGACATTGTTATAGACTTTGTAGAAATAATATTGATTTTCTCTAATCACTCAGTGACTTTTACTAGTGGAATCTCTGCTTTTTAAATGAAGAAGTTCTTCGAGCAGCCGGCCGACATCCGGCGCTGTGAACCTCCCCACAATCGAATCGTGGGGAAGTCGTGGGTGTTCGCCCCCGGACTTCATCCGATCAAAAGAATCTATGCCGAATCAGGTACTTCGTTATTAGAGAAGCCTGGATACTCCGTACATCGGTGGCCTTCTCATAGACTTTGAGAGAGACTGGTTGGCCCGTCGGTTTATTCTTGCCCTCCCCACTTAACCCCGCTAAACGTCACATTAGGTCGCAAACGCGCATCGATATCGGGGTAGAAATATCCGTGATCGCGAGCATCTCCCCTTAAGAAAAACTTTGGAAAGTTCCAATTCCTACATAAACGTGTTAATCACATTTCTGCCTCGATTGAACCCATTATCTAACAGCAATAACTAGAACTATGTCAAAAATCGCATCGACCTTTTCGCGTACGTGATGACACACCCCCAACATACAACAGCTATCATTATCCCTTCTAACACGCAATAGGCCTTGTGCGCTTTGTCCCTAAGTCAAACCCGTCTAAGGTTCTGATCGGCGAGCCGGTAGATGCGCAACTTGACGTCGGATTGGCTCTTTACCAGGGAAAGGAAGTCTCGGTGCGACCATTCACCGGAGCATCCGTCCTTAATCCAGGCCAGAAGACAGAGTCCACTGAGATCATCAGTCGGATTCTCTCCCCTTTGGCGCAGAATGAGGTCGGGTCGATTAGATGTATTGGGCTGAACGTGAGTTCTCGCTTGCGACATTACCAAACACCTCTTCCTCAGAGTCACAATTGACTGATTGTTCCGGTAGTATACCTCTCATGCCGCTGAGATGAAGCTCTCTATCCCAGATGTTCCTACACTGTTCATTAAGCCATCGGCGGCTCTCTCGGACCCTTGGCCTGCACCAACCGTTCTTCCCAAAATCACGCAAGTTGACAACACGGGCGACTATGAGTCTGAAATGGTTATTGTTATTGGTCGCGATGCGAAGGATGTTAGCGAAGCTGAAGCCCTGGACTATGTCCTTGGATATACGGCAGCGAACGATGTTTCAAGCCGCACGTCACAGATGAACCAGAGTCAATGGTGTTTCTCTAAGGGATTCGACACCTCGTGCCCAATTGGTCAGTGCCCCTCATGTAAATCCTCTTCTATTTTGTAATCCACTGACTGGCGGTGGGTTATCTCATTAGGTCCGGCCCTCGTTTCTGCGGCATTGTTCCCGGATGCTAGTAAATTCCAGATCCGCGGCCTGAAGAACGGCAAGGTGCTGCAGGATTGTCCTCTAACGTATGAAATGCTCCGGTAACCAACGATAGGCTTGCTTAGAGGGCTAACAGATCTTGAATAGGGATTTGATCTTCAGCGTGCCCAAGCTCGTCAGCTTTCTGTCTCAGGGAACAACTCTGCCAGCAGGAACTATTATCTTGACTGGAACTCCCCCTGGCGTGGGTGCTGCAAAGAATCCGAAGGAGTTCTTGAGGGATGGAGATGAGTTCGCCGTTGAATTGCTGCCTCACGTCGGAACTCTGGTGACGAAGATTGAAAACCAGAAATGAAGCTGTATTTGAGACTCAATAGGGCGCATCATGACTGCTTAGGAAAATAGATATGCATAAAATTGCTCTGTATAGACTCTGGTCTTCACAGCCATAGCTTTGAAATTATTGGCAAAGCTCAGCGGTTTGGTCGATGTAAGGCTCTTCTGGCTCTTGGATAGGTATATTCTTGTCAACGCTCTGAAGTTTGCCAGAGTATGTCACTTTGAGCTCTTTCAAAGGCCGGTATTTGATGCATGTGTAACCTGAGAAAAATGCACTTATTTATAACAGGTAATAAAGCTTGGTAATGGATTACCTTAATGTGGCTCTTGAGAGGGAAAATAATTCCCCTATAAATTATTGCCATGCAAGCGACTGAGTCCAATGCCAATTCGTAAATAACTGAAAGATAACAGAAGAAAATGAGCCATATGAATATGACAATATGGTCCGCATAATTATGATGTGATAAAAGACATATGACGTTGACAGCCTAGAAAGTGTGTCATTGGTAAAGTCTTGACTTGTAACAGTACAAGAACACTCACAAGAACATTCACTTGCACCTTTCATCCGAAAAGAAATCAACAAGTGAATATGAAACTGAGTGCCATGAATAAGCAATGTTGCGAACAACACAACAATTATTCCTTCCTCTTCTTATCCCATGGAATACAGATCGCGAATCTCTCTTGTTTCACTACATTACATAACTGCGTGACTCCTTTGTGAATATCCTTCAACTAGTCTGCACTTGTGATACTACACGATGTCTGGCTTCCCATTCCCGATCAAGACGGTCTTCTGCGAGGGCCATACACCATGTGAGTGCGACGAGTCCTATTTCCAAGCTCTGAGGGACTGGGTGCGGCTGGCTGCTGCCTTTGGCTGGCCGGAGACTGTGAGAAAAGTTGCGCTGTCCTACCTGTCAGGGGTCAAATCGTTGGAAGATACCGTCATCATGATCGACTCCGTTCGAATCTGCCCACATGGTCAGTTGGACATGCTGGGCGCAGAGTTGCCTCTTGAATACCGGGAGAGGTATGGCACAATCAATATCGCGTGGTTGAACAACGTTCCACTTGTTTATACTTTGTTCCGTTGGTTCAACGGGGACACCATCCACCGTATCTGTCTCGAGTCTGCTGCAGAATGGGTCGCATATGAAGAAGACATGCTCGATAATGAGGCTTCATCGGGGTTGTTCAAAAGAAAAGACTTCAAGTGCCTCCAAGATCCTGCAGCCGTGGCGCAGATGATGCAAGACAGCAATCGCACCGTTGAATCGGTTGTGTCTGATGTGCGCGTGGTTACTATCTTCTAGTATATCTCGCGGCGACGATCAACAAGGCAGGTTGCTGGCGACGCATCTAGAAATTGGTAGTAGCTAATAAACAGAAGACATGATCGACGGGAACTGCGCGAATAAGAATTTGAAGTCCATGTCGACCTGATAGGACCGAAAGATAAGCACCAGTCCTGTATGAGGACGACGGCAGATCGACACGAAGTGGTCCACACGTCTTTGGCGGATAAAGGTTCACCACCCTTATTCAATTACCTTGAGCTTCATCTGCTAACCATGACTAGAATCACGGCCATCATTGGAGTCTGGATGAAAGGGAAGTTGGCTAGCTGGCGCTGAAAATTTAACATCTTTTTACCTGCAGACTGCAGTTTTGTCCCTTGACGCAGGGCTGGGGGGGGGGGGGGAATATGGCTGGTAGTCCCAGGAAACTATTACTGAAAAAGGACTATGGTGTTCTAGCAGTCTGTAAAGCTTAGGAAGAATCAATGTAATTCAATCCGAATTTGCCTCGCAAGACTGCAATGTATACTTTTCTACTTACAGATCATACTTTAGCCTCAATTATAAGCATAGGATAAGCATTTACGAAGCTTGAGGATATTGAACAAGAAAGCTCCCCACATGCAGGTTCCCACATACAGGATTAGTAAGAAATGCTAACCCGTTTCTGATAGGTCCCCACCTTTACTTTTTTGCAGGCATGCAAGAAGTGTGGGATATGACTTTATCCTAGGCGGAGTAAATCATCTCCGCTTCGAATGCGCGAATCAGGGGTCTGTCACATTTACTTGGTAGGTATGAACACTCATTGCCTTATTCGACAGCAGTTGCGGTAAATAGAAGCTATACTCATGCTTTTCGCTTCATTGTAGACACGTTAGTTATGGTATTGAGGTTATAGAAATATTCGATACGATTATGAAGACAAGAACCGCGACAAATAATATGAAGGTACGATGCCGAGTTACTATTCCGATGGAGCTCCTTGCTATTATTGTCGCTTCGGGCAGCCGACCGGCCACACGGGACCATTAGGAGACTAAAACGCGTAGTGTGATTTCGCTTTCCCGATGGTATGATATCGGCTCGATGACTCGGGCAGCGAAAAATCTTTGATAGCTATCGATTTTGCTAAGAAGTATATAAAGAAATCAGTCCAAGCTGGGGCTTTTCGTTTATCCCTTTTCTGTATCTTGACTTTGAACTTTTTTTGTTTATATGTTCCTGACTCCAATTTGTTCATATTCTGAATGTCGCCAATGTTATTCCATTCTATTCTACGGAGTACTTCCAACCCATATATACAGCCTTGTTCCACCCTAATTCACATCCTGGGAGTCCCGTTCTATATTCTAATACACCATTCTACCAGGTTGACCGAATCATCTATTGAGGGAAAAAAAACGCTAACCTTAGATTCATGCATGGATGTCTGGACGCCACCTCCGACCCATGAAGTGAAGGCAGAGAGTCGGAATAACACTGACACCCACGATGAGAGCGCACCCAACACCCGCACTCGCAGCCACACCGACTGTTTCAAACATAGGCGGAAACCTGAGCTTCGTTAGCCACCGTACTCCAAAAGCTTGACGTGACCCTTTCTCGACTTACCAAAACGGCCCCAAGAAACCCCAGATCTGTCGAACGAAGGTGATACACACTCCAACACTGGCAGCTTCGGTGGGATAGCAGTCCACGGCGTACGTGACAAGGACGGTGGTTACAATCTGGTTACCGCCGGCTCCAATAGCGATACCAATGATAGGTGCTACGTTCCAGTGGCCTGATGCAGATTCCTGAGTGCACACCAGGAAGACGATCAGACCCACAATGGAACAAATAAAGCCGATGTAGCTGAGCCACAGACGGTGCTCTGGTTCGGGCTTCCGCTGGATCTTCTTTGCTCGTGTGTTCATCCAGACGTCCGACAGGGTACCTCCTAATTGCTCGCCAATGACGGAGCCGATAATGGGACCCAGGAACTGCATACCGAGTTGCTCAGTGTTCAGCTCGAACTTTTCCTGGAGCAGTTCCGGCACTTCAACCGTGGCCAACACGTTGCTCAACAAGAAGACCATTGCGTACGCCGCGGCTGGGATCATGACAGAGGGATACATAACCATAGTAAGAGGCTTAACGAACTCCCACCACGAGAAGGGAGTCGGGTCAATTCGACGGAGTGAAAGATATTCTCTCTTCCACGCGGCTTCGTTGGGGTCGACATTGCTGCCAACATACCGAGTTTCTGGGCCCAGAAAGAGATATAAGATGAACTGGATGCCGTTGACCTGATCGATGAGAATTTGTTAGCAAATGGCCATCGGCACGAGCGTGTATCACGGTGGTAGACGAACTATTGCCAGGACCCAGTAGATCCATACGTAGCCTGCCCGATATGCGACGAAACCAAAGATAAATGGACCGAGGGGAATTCCCAAGGTAACCAACAGGGTCCATACGCCCATGTACCTGGCACGGTCTTTCTTAAAATAGGTCTCCATCACAACAGCACTTCCAATAGCTTGATATGCTTGTCAGCTCAAATTCTTCCGAGATCTGATCAGAAATCTGTCTTACCAGACGCTGGAGAGATGAAAAATGCCTGTAAAGCTCTACAGGCGGCAGTTGATGCATAGTCTGTGCTTTTTGCACACCCCACATTACATACTAGACTGCACATAAGGGAGATAAGGAAGATCGGACGACGTCCATAGCGATTAGACATGGGCTTCCAGAACAGCGGGGCCCCGCCTAAGATGGCGATCTGGAGCGATGTCAGATAACTCGCTCTCTGGATCGTAACATTGTACTCCTCCGCGATCCTGTTCACCACTTGTTAGTGAAAACTTGAATGGTAAATGGCTGATTTAAGATGTCCTCTTACGTTGCATAAGCAGGAATGATACCAGCAGCAGCAAAGGTACCCATACATGCGTGAATGGCTACCAAAACCAAATTGGCCAGTTTCTGCACATATTCAAAGCTAGTCAGTCACTGTTGAGAAAAGCTCATGCAACATCTCGTTGCTGAAAAACATAATTTGCGGCAAAGTGAGTACTAACCTTCCAGGACGGCCAGTTGTACGGATCCGCTGGATCCATGCTAGGAATGGGATCGAGTTCTAGTGTGCCATGACGCTCCATCAGGTAATCTCTGTGTGCCTTTGAAATGCGAGATTCCACGATATCGGAATAACTTGTAGGTATGGCTCCCGCCGTGCTCTCTACAAAGTCCACGTCCATTTTTCCCGGCTGAGAGGCATCTTGCACGTCGTCATTTTGGCGAGACCTCTGCATCTCCATTGACGCAGTCATGTTGGACGAGCTCCTGGATAGGGGCACAGCCAGGGTTGGAGGTTAATCTTTGTGTAATCTGAGTAAAGGCCTCAAGCTTCCTGTTACTAAGGCCCCCTAGGGTTAGAATGGGTGAGAATGGGTGTAACAGAGGGAGAGGGGTTCCAAATAGTCCACGACGATGCGGATAACCCGTTATTCACATATGTCTACAGGCCGCAGACTCTAACCGAAGAAGAAGGGGATTGGAGAGTCCCACGCAAACTCACGCGGCCGGGGTATCTGGCCTATCATTTCTGCATTGGGTGGGCACTCGCCCGGGGTAAGGCCAAAGACTGACCAATCCATCCTCGTGGTGGAGATTATGCGGAGTATGTCTTCATAATACTATCGACTCATAGGGGTGACAATAGTCAGTCTATTTTGTCATGCTCGGATAATCCAGCGTTAGTCCATTGGATGAACCAAATTCGCAGCTCACCGGGGGGCGTTAATGAGATAGCCGATTGAGGATCCCGAAACCCCAGGAGACACGCGGTGACCCGGTCCCATCCAAATCAAAACTCTCCGGCTCGTTACGGTTACTGTGTACGGGCCACGGCATACTCGGAGATGGATAAGTATTTTGGAGTGGAGGCGTTGGCCATGCAATGGGAGTCTCGAGATTGGCCAACTTGCCCCCAGTCTGTAATGGTTCTTCAACGACTAAGCCGGATTAAGAAGGCTATCCTCACGTGCCAAGCAAACCGTCCCATTGCCACTGCCCCACAATTCGCTCTCGACGAGGTTCCTTTACATACTCCCCACGGCCCACTCTTCAATGACAAGTCCAGTTCCCGAACTCGCTACTCTTATGCATAAACTCAAGAGGGAGATCGTAATGATACTGATTCATTCGAGCTAACTTGCGGTCGTTGATTCTTATTAAATCACCAAAGCACTACATTAACCATGAAAGCATTGGTGTGTCGAGTCTGCCAGAAGGCCTTCTCGAAGGCTGAGCATCTAAGGGTATCTGATCCGTATCTCATTCCCTTTCGGTGGAGACTTCGCTAATGTCGGCACTTAGAGACATGAACGTTGCCGTAAGATATAGCCCATTATGCCGTGATTTGTGCCGTGCTACTTGGGCGGGATGTCCGATCGCCATCTGCTCTAACCCTAAAGCTATACGATTGGGAAGCTGACCAAGGTATCAATGCCAAAGACACGGGAGCCAAGCCATTCGTGTGCAAAGAATGCCGTCGACCTTTCGCCCGCCAAGACGCTCTTGCGCGCCATGAGAAATTGCACGTTCGGGCTGCAGCCAACGCTAAGCTTCCTCAAGGGCAGCATGTACACGAGATCCCCCAACCAGCATCTCTCGAGGCTCTCCCGCCATGGGACACCACGAGAGACCCTGTAGATACCGCAATAACAGTGCCTGCACCAAGTCAGACATGGGATACTTCACAACCCGAGCAAAACCCTGGCTTGCAACATGCAGCTTCCGATCTTGATTTTACGCTGATATGGCCCGATTCGGAGAGCCTGTTCCAAAGTATCATGTCATCAGATACAACAGATCAATGGCAAATGCCTTTGGGAGCACTACCCTTCCCACCTGTAGTCCAAGATGTGAACTCAATGAGCTTTGGGTCACCCAATTCGTTCGACGATCGTAGCTCTTCAATAGGCACGATCCCTTCGGGTGGTAGTCATCAGGCTGTACGAGATGTCACAGAAATGGTGGCAAGCTCTGTAAGATCTTCCGAGCGCTGCTATGCCTCCGAAGGAATGCTAACATTTTGTCCCAGTCCTCTAGTGTGACAGCGGCGATCAAAGCAACGTCAATCACATCTGTGTTCCTGGATGAATGCCTGCACATGTTCTTTGTGCGGTTCATTCCAACATTCCCCATCTTACATCGGGCTACGTTCGTTTTTCGAGAGTGCACTCATCCACTTCTTCTAAATGCTATGGCTTTGGGATCCCTGTACCTGGGTCCCAAAGATTCCGTTGCAAAAGTAAGCTGTCCCGGTCGTAGAAAGAGCCACAAGGTTGTTAACGATATTGCAGGGGGAAGCGTTATGGCGGCTGGCACATACTGCCGTTGCTACTTCGGTATGTATCCTTTCTTAAGAAATTTAGGTGATACTTATCCCTATGTAGTGGCAATCGTTAATCACGCATCGTGGCCCTTACGATGCATGCAAAGGCGTCCAGCTTCTTATCACTGCCCTTCTAGGCCAGATATACGGTGCATTATCGAAGGTTCGCTTTCACCTTTACAGGCTTTGCTTTGTACTTGAACTTACCTTTACTACTACAGAATAGACTTATTCGCACCACGAGTCAAGTCTTCCGTCCACTTGGATTCTTTTGGGCCCGGCATTGCGGAATGTTAGATAGCGAGCCTTTTTCCATGGAGAGTTTGCCATTCCCCAGCGCATCAATGGACGAGAAAGAGCGTCAATGGCGAACATGGGCTGCACGAGAGATTCAACAGCGTGCACTGCTTGCCTATCATGTTCTTGACGGTCTCGTTGCACAGATGTCTGGTGATGGTACATCGACCCGTCATGTCGCTAATCCCCTTGTTCTCCCTAGCAGTGAAGCTGCATTTGATGCTAGCAACGTGGATGAATGGCTAGCACAAATGCGGTCTCAACGGCCCGATCAGCCATCTTTTCGGCTGGTCTTCCGCTCTCTTTTCCCTCCAGTTAGTAGCTTTCGACCTCTGGATTATCAGCTTTCTGCCTTCTCCCTTCGGGTCATCCTTGAAGGCCTACAGTCTCTAGTGTCAGACTCGGACGAGAGTGACCTTGTTGCTGTGGGTGTTCCAGGGCGTTCAGATGTGAGAAGAGCCCTGGCTCAAGTGCACGAGACAGTCTCCATGAGCATTCACCTTTCTGCCGAAGAACGACTCGAAGTCCTTCTCCGTTGGCATACTATATGCCTCGATACTATGATCAACTCGACCGTTCTGTGTAGGCATGTCTGCTCCTGCTACGACATTTCGCAACATGTGTCTGGAGGCTCTCGAACGGTTAAGCCCGGGTTCGATATGACGAAGTGGGTCTGCACTCCTGATGCACGTCGTGCTTTGCTGCATGCTATTGCTATTCAGGATATCATCGAACAACTTCCACGAGGCCGAGCTCATGTAATTCATATGCCAAGCTCCCTCTTCGCCGCAGTGACAATCTATGTCGTGTTCTCGCTCGCGGGAGTTGCAACAATCCACCTTCCACGGACCATTGCTTGGCAGGACGCACTTCTTTCACACTCCGATTTGAACTTGGGATGTGACAATAGTCGGGCATCTACTGGCTCCGAAACAAGGCGGTTTGTTGAAGAAGGACAAACAAATTCGCCACCTGGACTAGGAGCTGTGAGGAACTTGCTTTATGAGATGAATTCAATGCAGAAGCTGTTCCGCTGTCTCATATCTCAGTGGGGCATTGCTCACGATATGGAAGAGATTGTTAACCAGTGGATTACCTTGTGTCATTAGGCATTCAGGTCCCCTGTATAATCTACTCTATTTTATTACAGTCCGGCGTTGGTGGCATTCTCCGAGCGGTTGCATGGCTTGAATTTTGTTATAAGGAAACAGGTATATAGACGTTCTTGTTGTTTGCATATAGAAGAGACTCCCTGTGGACGAATGAAATGTACTGCTACAATGGAAAGGCACAACTATCGAATTCCTTTTCCCATCCCCACTATACAGCTTTCTTTTCGTACTTTGAGCCCTGAGTGACCCGTCCTTTCACAAATCACACTAAACACGCCATTCCATATGATAGGGCTTGGAAATAATCAGTAAACCCAACCAGTCCACCTGCTCAAATCTCCAGTGTTATGAACTCAGGGTTTGACACCCTTTCGATCGTTCAATAAGACTAAAGATATCGCTAATATAAGCAATAGTGCACCATCCCGGCCAAGCTGCTCATCAAGCACGGCGCTTAGTCCGGGTGGTTGAACCCTTGGTGTTAATCTTGTACGAGCTCAATGACAATTTCCAACAATCTCAACCTCATCAAGAAAAGCAATCTGCCAAGTATACCGCAGTCCAAAATATAAAGTCACACTACGCAATGCAAAGTAAAGCATTGTTGGACTCGAGCTGACATCACGGAGAAGGCGAACCGATAGCGTGGCGGTCGAATTTGGGTAGTCTTCTAAACTAGGTACGCAAGGGGTGAGCAATTGCATGTGGTAGTGGCCTTACGCCGAAGGTTTAAACGGTTAGGGCAAGTTAGGTGGATGACGTTTTGGCGCAAGGGATATGCAGTCGGGTAATGTGCATGCGTTGTGGAAGATATGGGGCTATATTGGGCTGGGTTTTATGTACGTATTCTTCGTTTTATGGTGGTTTTGTGGTCGATCGTTTGATATGTAGAGCAGTAGTTGACTAGTATTAACAATGAATAACAGAGAACTCTCTATCTGCTGGATGGAAATGCATAACGAAGTTTGCTTTGTGCAGTGTAATTCAAAACCTTGTAACATAAAAACAGAAGACAAAATATGCGATGCCAAGTGTGCCAATTTATATGCAAGGGGTATCTCTGGCAGTCTAATGCAATCTGATGCGCAATGACAACGCTACCATGGGTAGGGATGATGAGATAGCGAAGAAAGGCAGAACAAAAAATAGAGGTATATCAATGTATGCAATGCCGCCCAAACTTGTTGTAAAAATGAAAGAGAAAGGTGAAAGAAGGGCGGTGTCGTAAGAAAAAGCAAAGATGAGAACTATACCGCTGAGTGCGCCATAACAAGAGGAAAGAGATAAGAAAAAAAATTGTTCCATGTGCGTTTCAGATCTTCTCAGGTTCGTCATTGTCTTCTCTCATTCTCGTAAAGGCCTTAGTTAGAGCCGTTCCAATTTCGCTGAATAGATCGCGCATGATAGATTCGGATTTCATTGCCGCGGGACCCTGGGCAAGAACGGGGTCCTTAAAGAGTGGTGCAACTCGCTCCCAAAGTTTGCCAAACGTGTTCTCGACAGAGCTGTCCACGGCTTTCGTGCCGTTCACCGCGGATTCCTGATTCAGAGTTATGGTGCCCGACGGATGGCTGGGCTCGTCTTGGCGGAGACGACGAGCGGGACGATCATCGGCTGCGTCATCGTTGTCATCATCGTCACGAGGTCGTTTGTTGCTGGCTTGAGTATTGTGAGATGTCTCGAGGACAGCGCCTGGAGAGGGCTGGTTTTGAACCGCGCCATTGGTTAATGGCGAATGTTTTAGTCTCTCGGTGATCAGTCCACTGTCCCGTTTCCCGGAGTTGTCCTGTTGGTCCGTAGGTTGGCCTCTGTAGGAGGGTGTGTTGGACGGTGCAAGATGAATCCCACGAGGAGCGCCCACCCGCTGGCGGTACATAGAGATCTCGTTGAGCACCGGCGATTGGTTCGGAGACTGGGAATGGGACATTGACTGGTGACTGGAGAAAGGAGGGCACCAGCTCAATGAAGGAATGCCGAATTTCGTTGGTAAAGGATCCATCTCTGCAGGTGGCGGAAGACTTTCAACCCAATTTGAAACCCGAGTGTACTTTATCAGTTGCTGAACTGATACCCGAAGTGGCGGGGCTTCTTCGGGTTTCTCGGCCGCTTTCAGGGCGACTTCATGGCGCACAGGCCGTCCCAACTTCCTATCGCACGAACCCATCCAGGAATCAACGTCGTCTGCGACTTCGCTGTGCATGTCACACTCCGGAATATTATTGTATTTGTAAGCGGCCCAGTATGCCTTGCGTTTCGTTATATAGCCGATAATGCGTCGTCGACATGACTGCCACGAATATCGGCGGCCAGTTTGCTCCTGTAGAGCCGCGGAGATTCGAATCCAGAAACTTTTGGGGTAGTGTCCCAGTTCGTAATGGTCCATCATATTTCTACATAAACTGATCAGGCATTGTTGCTCGTTAACAGTGAGTTGAATCCCCCGACCGGAGTGTTCAACAGCTACATCGTTGTAGAGTAGACCGGAGGCCAGCTTTGATTCCGTTGGCGTTGAAGGATGATCGGTAATTCTCGCGGGGACGTTGAACGATGGGTCTGCTAACAGCCGACGTTGTGAATCTGACTTGGTGATTCCATGATGGTCACGAAGGTGTCTCCAAATCGATTCTGACGAAGCCGTCTCTTCTAAGGACTGTACCAAGGCCATGACTTCTTTGCGAAAACCCTTCACGGTCCTCCTCCTCTTGAGATCGTGGGATCGGAGAGGAAGACATGGCGGGAGGATCGGAGAAGAAGAAACTTAATCAATCTTCGCCCCCCGAAAAGTTCGCGCCGCGTCCGTGTCCCGACACGTGATCGTTGGGCAGCGAATTAGTATGGAGGGATCCTCAGCCTCCTATTTTTCTCCTGATTTTGGAGCTGGGTGGGAATGTAAGTCTGCCTAATAGAGCCGATCGAACCTGATCTACGGGGATAAGTTATTTTAGTTATTATTGGTTGTACGACTTTCTCTCCAAACGAGACTTGTGTACTGACGGACTGCGGGTTTCCTGTTCTTTTGTTCACCGCCGCGGGCTAGAATTAACATTCCATACATACCAATATTACCCGATCAGGGTTGGGCAAGGGATTAATTACCGAGACATGGTACCGTACTTTTGAGTTCCGTGTCTGCTTCGACATCTGACCTTGGGCACGATCCAAATGATTTGACGAACCTCTTCTCGTCAAAGGATCCCCAATTTGAAAAGTTACATGAAATTCTGCGTGTCCTCCGCTTTCATTCCCGATTGGGAATCCGTGTCTCCGCCGAACTATGAGAGGCGGGGGGGCGACTTGACTCGTTGCATCATTGATTCTCCATTCGTTCAGGGGCTGACTTGGACATCTACCTCGGCTGTGCTCAATAAAATATGTATCTCCATCTGACCAGTACTTTTCGCATCCCTATCGTTTACCATTCGGGATACTCGGAAATTATTAATAGACGAGGTATACTCCTGGGTTAGTTAGGGGTCACATTCTTTATCGCGCCGCGTTCGGCAATATCAAGGATCAACCCTACCAAACTAGGGTACGAGAGGATCGATGTCTCGCCGTCGACAACGCTACTCGCCTCGTCTCAATTAGGGTGATTTGCTACCAACTGTCCACGGGTCAATGGTTTCTCTTAGTAGTACTCATTGCTGCTGATCGCTGCAATTTGGCCAAAAGCACGGAAAGCCCACACCGCGGCAATTTTCTGTGTCACTAAATCGTTTAATGATTGCGACACTACATATGCAGCTAGAATCCCAGCGGGCTTGTCCCTGATCCGAAGGCGTGGACACTTTCAAGACATCATATTGAATTTGACTCTCCCTGAATACCCCGTCTGATCTGTTTAAACCGATCTGAAATGGCGTCTCATCCCATATCCGTCTCCCCCTTGTTGCAGGCGGTGTCATCTATAGCACTCGAGAAAGGTACCCGAGATCAATTCGTGGCAAATATCTCCCCAGAATGGTGTACACAACAGTATGTCCGACAACGTGGTAGCAAGCTAACCAGTCGAGTAACAAGACTGACTAGAGCAGCTCTGTACTGGGTGGCTACCTTACTGCATTGATGCTTTCCGCCGCACAAAAGTTGAACGCCCTTGAATTTGGTGAAGAACGGTTCCCCGATCCTATCCATGTCTTCGTGCAGTTTCTGCACATGGTCCCGTCTGGACAGGTGGTGGTGACCTGCAAACACCTCCGGGTCTCCTCCCGGCAGTGCGTATTAAGGGTAGAAGTAGCAAGAACTGCAGCTTCCGGAAATCCAAGTAATCCTGCTGCCGTGGGTATCGTTACGTGTGCCAACATCTCAAAAGAGGAAGGCCTTACGCAACATAGTAAGCCGGCTTTCGCTGTCCCACTTCCGGACCGACACACCGAGTGTATCAAGATTGATGACCCCGTTGTCGACTCAACTCCGGTGACGAGTAAACTGAACTGGGTTTCACCGAAAGCAGCCAATGGCCTTTGGGGGCATCGGGTCGGGGGTCATTACCGTGAGGTGTGGGTGTCATTCCGGGATGGCTCTAACATCTCCAGCCTTCTTCATTTGGCTTTGTTGTCAGACATGGTAAGCGGTTGCGCACCCTCCATATCGAAGGTATATAACTGGCAGTATCTGACGGTTGAGATAGCCATTGCAACCTGCTGCAACGCACCAAGCAGGATTCTATTTCAAGTATGCGTTATCCACGCTGTGTATGACAGTGGAATTCAAAAAGCGTCCAGACCCATCTACTCAGTGGGTTATGATTCGGTCAAACTCGCATTTAGTTGCCAATGGCCGGTACGATGTCAACATCCAGATCCTCGATGAGGAAGGGAATATCCTCGCGTTGAGTAACCATGTAGTATATGTTTCAGAGCTTCGAGCCCGTGCCAAGGGAGCAAAAATATGAGCGTGTACTTGTTATAAAAGTATATAACATCATCTCCTGTTAATGAACGTCAGTATGTGACAGTAATAATAAAGCCAGAAGATTGAGTAACCTCTGCTAAAAGTTTACTGGAGTCGCATCTCATTATCTATCGGCTTGCCAATCTTTTCGACGAGGTGGGATTCGGGACCCTGCTTAAGCTCTTCGAGAAGAGCTACTACCCATCACATAAAAAGAATTTACTAGTTATCATTTATATTAAGAGCTTGCGGAAAGAACTGCAACGTAGCCTGGGGAAAATAGTATTAGACCAGCTACGCCCTGAAGTGTAAAGTAAAGCTAAATAGATACTGTGGAGGGCTCGGATAGACCAGTCTCCTACGGAATATTATAGAAGATAATGATTGTAGATTTTACTAACTTAAGTAACTTCTCTCCATATAATCATATAACTTAATACAATGCTACGCCTCACTATTCGTATTGGGTTCGAGGCCGTGCTTTACCATGAGTTCGAGTCGCTCTCAATACTATCACTTATGTTGAAACAGTAAAGTTAGGAGAAAGTGTATGATTATAGAGGTCTTGTCGATGGCCTTAAGCTTAAGTTTATTACTGCAATAATATTGCACTATCACCACAGAGTTTCGCACTCTTGACACAAAAAACTAAGGACTGGAACGAAGTGTACGTGTGACTCTCCCGATAAGTTAAGTCAAGAACCAGGAGCCCAGGTGACCAGCTCAGCATTCACTTTCTCAGATATCCCCCTTTTCTTTTCTTTCCTTTTCCTTGTTTTTTGTGTGTATATGTGTGTGTTACTTTAGATATAAGCGGCTTTGACCTTCCATCTGTGAAGAACTTGGAACTTGCGCAAGCCTGATCTACTTACCTCCAAACTCCAATCTTCATCACCTCCCACATCACTTGATCAAAATGGTGGTGAACTGGAAGAACCACGAGAGCACAGACCGTCTCATTGGATCTCTACTTGCAGCCCACCCAGATCTCAAGGTAGCATCCATCCTCTTTTTTATAAAGACTTCACTGCATTTCAAGTACTAACTTTCCACAAACAGCTCGACTATCACGCCATGGCTGTCCTGTTTGGACAAGGAGCGACATACGACTCGATCGAGGGCCGATTCCGCCGCTATCGAAAGGTAGCAGACGAGCTGAGAGACGAAGCCCATGGTCGTGGCATCTCAGATATTCCCCGCAACGCAGGGCGCAGCTATGCGTCTGCTAGAAGCGCCACCTCAACTCCTAGAACTCCTCGAGCCCGACGAGGTGGAATCACCAAGAGCACCCCGTCATCCGGCAGAACCAGGAATTATCGCCAGACACCAACTAAGCAAAACACGAAGCCTGGTACGTCTGTCATGGATGCGATCTATGTTAACGATGTCGACATAGAGGAGAAAGAGTCGAAGGTTAAGCCTGAGATTCATGATGTTCTTTCTGACAGCGGGGAAGAAGATGTCAAGATTGTTGATTCTCCTAGCATCAATAGCATCAAGATCAAAAAGGAAAGAGCTGAGCATAACATGGCCGGTGTCTTTTCTACCATGACCCCCAAAAAGGAGGAAGAAACTAGCGACTTTGTAACCAGTGCTGTCTCGACTCGTACGAGTGGTATTGAGGGTCATGACGACGACGAAGAAGCATGTTACCATGCCGGGATGACTGAGAATCCATTCTGTATGATCGGGAGTTACTTCAAACAGGAACATGACGGCAACATGGACGACATTTATCGCGGAGAAGCTTAGATTCTCTTCGCATATGTACTTTCATCGGAAGGAACTATGAGTGAGAAGCATCAAATTTTACATTTTAGTTGTTGCTATTGGATTCGGTTGCTAGATACATGTCGAAGGATATGTAGGTAATGTTAAACTCAGAATTCAAATGAAAATGAATAAAAAATAGTCCTCTGCCACATGGTCAGCAGAAACGGCGGGTTGGATCCGCAAGTCACTTCTGTCAGCTGTGGTAGTATTGGCCAAAGCATCAAAGCACTCTCATCGAGCTAATCATTCACTCACAGGCCACAGAGTCTTGTCACTATACCTAATCTTGCTTTTCTTTCACCCTCCTCCACTCTTCTGTTACTCTTCCTCTACAGATCTTCTCTCACTTTTCCTTCTCCTACTCCTCTACTGCCCAGCCCTTCTCACTCAAGCACACGCTTGTGCTCTGCTCTTAATCTCATAATCCAAGCCACCTATCCAACCTCGAAGCAGTCTCTATTGAGACGTCGAAATGCCCATGCGTTGGACTCCCGAAAACGACCAGCTTGTAAGCCCACCCTACCGGCAGCTTTTACGCTGAGAAAGAATCTAACAGCCACAGCTTCTTCTGAAGATCCTGGAAACCCATGATTTATCCGTCGATACCAAGAAGGTCGCCGAAGCTTGGCGTAAGTTCTCACCCAAACCTCAGCAGTATCGATAACCTGTATACCAACAGCGCAAAATTTGAATAGCCGGTACAGACTCCAGCAGTCGACCCACCCCCCGAGCCATCACTGAACGTCTGGTCAAGATGCGCCAGATGGTGAAGGCAGCCAACAACGGTGCGGATGGTCACTTCAGTATCGGAAAGGGACCCGGTGCCAACCCCAGCAGTGCAGCGGCGACTCCCCGTAAGAGAGGCAAGAATGCGACGGCCGTTCCTAAGACCCCGACTTCTGGGAAGCGTAAGAATGCCTTCAAGTCTAATGACGTTTTTGGAGATGATAGGGATGTGCATGTTAAGGAGGAAGGCGAAGGGACTCCGCCAAAGGAGCCGCTCAGTCCTGCTTCTGCTGGTGTGAACCAGGGCTACGCTGGTGTCCCGCTCAAGACCGAGCCAGTGGATGGTGATGATGTCTTTATGGATGAGGAGTCTCCTTCGAAGCGTGTCCGTAGGGCCAGTGTTCTTCCTCCTGGTATGGTTAGTAGCTATGGTGAGGAGGAGGATAGCCAGAGTGAGTTGGATAGTGAGATTTCGGAGTATTTCCCTGAAGAATCGAATAAGGTGGAGGAGGATTTCTTGATGGCTTGATCATTTCATTGATTTATTTAGTTTTGCAGATCAAGCACGGGAGTTGAATTACTTTGCGGGTGGTTGACAGTTACAATATCAATTACCACTGGAATTTATGTTGAAACATGGCTTGGCTCCCTGTCCAACGTGCAAGAGATAGAAAATGCAGGTATAACACTGCAAAAGCCATGGCCTACTAACAGAGGGGATAAAAGAAAAAGAACCAGCAGGCACACGACCAGGAATATCCTTCAATTTCAACGAAACAAACTACCAAGGGATGTTACCAAACTACCTATCCGCAAAGCATTAAAGCCAATGGCCGCGTTCACATTCCCAAAGAATACAAAAGCCCCTCTGTTTGCATCCCTAGATATCCACACAAGATCACCCCCAATCCTAAGTAGAATCATTCTCAATGCTAGCTTTCTGCTTCTTAGAAGGGGACCCCTTTGCGCCTCGCTTCGCCGGTCTTCCTCTCTTGGGCTTTGTGGGAGACGAATCGGGAGCACTGCCTTCTTCCTGCTGAGGAGCAGAGCCGGGAGAAGCACCGGCGGCAGTACCTTCCACAGGGGATTCATTACGGAGTTTTTCCTTAATACGCTGGACTCTGTGCTGAATGGCACTGGCTGTGCAGCCTGCATTTTGGCTTAGTTCTTGTGTTTTTCGACGGGGTTGGGAAAATATAACAAACCATGACCCATGAATTCAGCTAAGGCTTTGTGGTCGAGCTTCACATTATGGAGAGTAATGATGCCGACCAGAAGCTATATGTAGCGTTCTGTTAGTGTATTTAGAAGCTTGGTGGGGATGGGAAATCGGTAGGCTCACTTTGGCATCAGCCTGCGGATCAGTCCAGTCCATAGGCATTCTGATTGACAGTAAACACTAAGGCTGATTTGATTAAAGTAGATAGTAACTCAGATGGCAAGTCGCTGTTTGGCTGGTTGCTTTGTATGCGGGGGTGTAGTCGGATGGCGTAAATGTTGCAGAGGTGAGGAGAGAACGGGAGGTAGAATAGAGGATGTTATAGAGAGGAGGAGGTGGTTGAAGTCAAGAGACAGGGTGTGAGGAGAGAATGAGGGGGTTTATTCATTCACTTTCAGCCAGAGCGAAGTGCTGCTGTTACTCGTGATATTGCAGAACAAAAGACAAGCAGTTACTCGATGACCTTCTAAGCCTAGACTCGACGCTGGCTGTGGAAGTTCAAATGCCCGATTTGTCCTAGTATCTTTCAAGATTGTGTTGTTCTTTTCCAATTACCCAAAGTACCAGTGTGTTCCAAGAATACTCGATATGGCTTTCTATGGTTTGAAGGGAAATAATCATCTGCTGACAAGGATAGAGAATCCTGTATATAACAAACTCACATCTACTTTCCAGTTGATTTTGATATAGAGACCATGGCACTCATAGACATTACTTTTCAACAGGAACATAACATTCTTCAATGCGAGTTCGGTACGGAGTCAACGCAGGAGTCTCTGTGAGCAGCAATGTCCATACACCTAGTAGGATTCAACGGAGTTAACGATACAACCCCTCTCAAGACCCTCACCTATCCCAAAAGCTGCCCTGAGAATTCTATTATAAAATTGTCAGGGCGAAAAGAGGTGAATATAACTACACCTACGGAACCTGTTTGGTGATGATATCCATGTATGTAGGCCCAATAGTCCATGAAGCTTAGGCTAGAGTCATGTTAGAGCTGCGCAACAGTGTAAAGGCTTTCAAATACATTTCTAGACTACTCATTATCACGAAATGGATAGACAGCTTCTTTCTATCTAGAGCGTGTAAGGAGGATAGGAAAATGTTGGATGCGAATATCGAAACTATTACTCCCCCCCCTCTCCCTTTTGCTCCATTTTGGACATATCGTTCCGTTTTAGAATTAGCATGGTAAGTATCATGGGACGTCCACAAGTATATGCCAGATGGTGTCTGGAGCACCAAATGTGCACTACCTAACAATATGCATCAAGCTTAGTGTATTGTAGCAGTGATCTTTTCTTTCATGGATATCTACTGTTTATGGGCTACCATTCGATTCAAATTTGCAAGGAACTGCGTTGAACAAGAGAGAAGTTTATCTTATGTTGATCCAATCATACCACCACTGGCAGTACAACTACTACTGGCACAGATGCCACAGGCACGGCAGAACCATCACAGCCACCACAGATACTCCAGATACTCCAGATGCGTAAAGTAACATCAGCATATGATCGCCATAAGATTTCCTAAACGAGATCTTGCTGCATGAGACAAAGGCCCTTGATTAGCCAAGCTACTGAGCAATGTCAAAACTGTCTGATCTGTTCCCTTCAAGTACGGCGCATATATCAATCCAAGCAGCTTTCCTAGAGCCACATTGTACGTCTTTTACTCATGAACACGGGAAACGCGAAGCGAAGGGTGGCCATAGTCGATAATGTTAGAGTTTTGGCTTCCAACATATTAATGTTTCGTTATTTCCTTCCTCGGCAATCCATATTAATAAACCCCAAATTTATATTAAATTATGCGGTGATCAAAAGTTGCTGTTTTAGTCTAGTCACCTGGTATATAGCAGAGCGTAAACGATCTAGTAGTAGTCGAGCTGTTAGGCCTAACGACTACTACCCCGCCAATCTGAGGGGAGCCGTTGACCACTGCCCCGCCAAAGGTCCTCACGTCAGACAATGACTCGAGTCAATCAGACTTAGAATCTGGCAGTTATGCGTCGCATTTTATTCTACGTCGCACGATCTTTTCGGAGATAGTATCCGTTGAGTCGTCTTACCTCCAACAGAAAAGACTGATATTCCACCTGTGGGATGAGGGTATACAACCCGCACCACATTGCGCCGCATGCAGCTGAGCAGTTGCCTGTCCGCCAACCACACAGTAGCTTGAATTAAATGCAACTTGTACATAAGCGACATGATACGTTTCCAATGACACTCCAAGCCGCTATTTACAGCCAGTAGTCCAATTCCTGGGCTTCGAAACGAGACTAAAGTCGACCTGTCGGAGCGCCTATGTAAAGTTAAACTCAGGTTAATCGAATCCAATCATAAATCTACTCGTATTTCTTTATGTCGTAACATAAATATTACAATGCTCCTCATCTTTGGGTCCGAAATGCACTATCGCAAATGGATACTCTGAAGCGGCAACACAGCGTTTACGAGAAATGGGCGTACTCCACCTAAATAGCAATATCATTACTTATATTAGATACTAGCCTATCAAACAAGCGCCTATACCGGCCGAGATGGCCAGAGAGGTGGTAGGAGGGGTAGTTGTACAATGTTCAGAGCGGCAAGTGGGTGCTTTTTATAGGATCTCTCAGATGCACTGGGCGGAGGAGCGATGTTTCAGAGTGCATAGCCGACATAAATACTGCGTCCGAGGGTTGCGCCAGAAAACAACGTAATGAATGGTCAGTCAGAATCTTCATGCACCGTGGACAACATTTTGACCAGGGAGATGCGCTGATGGCTTTGCCATAGAGTTCCAGCCTTATTGTTTATGTCGGCGCCACCGTCACAGAACTACATAATTGCGACACATGGTTATATTTGGTGACGCTATATTTATGGAACTACTATGTATCCCAAGTGGGTCCGGCGGGTTTACTGTGAAGTCGGTGAGAAATTTGAAACGGGAGGGGGCAAAAATAACAGAAGATGAGGGAAAGAAAAAGAAAAAGAAATCTTAGAAACCGCGCAAAAATAGATACGTGCTGGGTATATCAAACCATTTGACGCTGAATTTCAGGGATTCGATCTTTTACCAAAAGAGGTAAGGTAGCGATTCCCTAAACGTACGGCTAAATTTTTGGGGAAAAAAACAAAGAATTGCATTATCAGGCAAAGAAGGATCTCAGTTCTGCACTCCAATTCACCCCCAGGGGCAAATCGACCAGCCTTATACCCCTCACGCCATTATTGATACGGTCTTACAGCTCTTCTTCCCAGGTCTTTTCTTGGTTACAGACATCAGTAGCTGCGACATCTACGGATGTGGCTTTCCCAATGTAGAGCGATACGGAATACCCATCAATGACAAGCATTTTCCATGAAGCAAAGGATTAAAGATCTCAAATTAATTGCCTCAGAGCAAACAAGCACGATCTGAGTGAGGTCTTGCAGCAATTGGCGTCCGACAGCTGCTGATCACTACCCCCTCTAGGGCCCACTGCTGAAGTGTCTGCCAAGAGACCCCATATAGTCGCACTAGGTGGGGGAGTCTCTCACCATTTCTTCTTGAGCCAATCTAACACGGTTTCCGTTCACTATAGGGATCCAATCACCACTGTTGCCTAGGGAAATAGGAGAATGGTACCGTGGGAAGGAGTGAGGACTAACCCTGTTGTAGTCCACCAAAGTCAAATCAGTATCTCAGCTCCCCACCGACGTCAATCATACGCGGAATTCACCAAATGATTGGAAGCCATGTGTTATTGTGTATAGTGTTAACGAGGTTGACTTGACATATGGGGGGAGAGGTTCCACTCGTGAGAGACTCAGATATAAATACCAGCTGCTTGCCCTGCTAAATCTGTTTTCCAGTCTTCTTCCTCAATTCATCATAACACAGTCACAACAAGTATCCTCAACAAACAATCCCTTAGCCAACATGGATTTCCAATCGAGTGCCCAAAACATCAGAGTCGAGGGAAAGAATATCTTGGTTGCTGAACTCCGATGCGAGGACGGTCAATGGCGCGAGGCGAGAGTTAATCTGGATGAGCATCTCGGAAATGATGATGGTACTTTCCTGACATTTGCCAAGATGAATGACTAGCTCTAACTTGTATCATAGGCCACTTTCAATGGGGCGGCCAGAACTTCTCCGAGACCGCTAAAGATGTCCATTTCGCGATCGAGGGTGGTTCAAATGTCCCTGTTCTCCGCGCCCAATTGCGCGATCGGAACGGTAACTATCAACCACGCGACGTCAACCTTGGTGAACGTGTCTACAATGCAAATGGATATTTCCATTTCCAGTACTGATTGTATGTGGAAGTGGCCTTGAGTGAGAGGGCATTGCTAACGAGGCTGTAGTGATCCCTATATCATGATATTATTTGACTATGGTTGGAAGGACGCCTGCGAGGCACATTATGCTCTAGCATACCGCTGCAAATTGCCGTTACGGTTTATAAATACTTCTTGTATCTAGTATAGCTCTTCGGTGTATGCGATACCTTTGAACGCAAATCCATCCTGGAATTATGTTCTCTACCGCAAGAGTCATACATCAAGAACTATCAGTACAGGCACACGAGTACCATGAATACGAAACAACAGGCCATTACCAGCAAGATGATAAAGGGAACCTGCCAACCCATACACCTCCATATAGCCATCCGTGTCCGATCAACCTGTAACTCTAACCCGAACTCCTTAAAAGCATCATAGACCCCCGGGTGTATCACATGGTAAAGAAAGCCTGGCAATGAAAAACAATACTGACAGAAGAACAAAGCAAAAAGCAGGTAACCGATGCTGGAAAGCACTCCATGGCAGCTTCATGACAGCAGACTCGCATAATGCATATATATATAAATAAACAAGGAGAAAGAGATGGGGAAAAAAAAAAAAAAAAAAAAAAAAGAGAGAGAGAGAGAGAGAAGAAATGGACTCTCCTTTTACCAGGCGTGAGTTGTATCGCCCGCATCCATGTCATATCCGTTCCAGTCCTCATCACCACTCACTTCATCATCAAGGAAATCTTCCTCATTGAATTGGGTTTCACTTGGGCGTTGATTGTCAATGCGAACCATAACCACGTCACACATGCCTTGTACAGCAAGCGGCTTTTGGTTATCGTCACTGTCAGGTGTTGCGCGGTGAGATGCACTCAAGCCAGCATCATCCTCAATCTCAGAAAGCTTTTGTTGAGCGAGGCGGGCGCTTTTTCGTTTCGAGGGTGTCGAAAGTCCACTACCGAGAGAATCTGGCTGAGTAGGTTTATTGTCTCCAACTAGACTACCAGTTGAGCTACAAGGTACGGGAGGCCGGGAGGCAGGAGGAATAGTGCTAAGGGCGGCATCTGGAGGTGCACTTCGCCTTAAAAAGACTTTCTCGAGCTTGCCAATCCACTTTTCCCGAAAAGATGCACGATCGCGCCACCCAATCTTGAGAATCGCGCTAATCACTAATCGCCGCAAGTTCTGCAATTCAGGAGCTGCATCAAGAAGGGATGTGAAGAATACATCCGCCGTTGTATCGTCCCATTTGCGTAGCTGTATCAACTCAATGTCTTGTAGAGTAGATGGCCACGTTGGGACCTCCGAGCTATTGAGAAGCTCCCTGAAGTGAGGTTCGACGTCATGATAACTAGACAAGTCATGTATTGAGATGTCCATCTTAAATTTCTCCAGACTTCGACAAGACTGCGCCAAGCCTACTATGAAAGACAGACTCAAATGGCGATTGTGACTTAGAGCCAAGTCCCGAAGATGCTGGCCATGGGTTGCGAGAAAGGCACTAAAGTTTGCCGTAGTTACTTCATCGCAGTTGTTTATCATGAGCGACGTCAACGCTGGAGGTAAGTTGGGCAAAAGATGCTCGTTCACAATCGAACACTCCAGGAACTCCAAGCGATGTAGCTCTGGGAGTTCTTTAAGCGCTGTCGCAAGGACAACTTCCCTCTCGTTTGACAGGTCAGTAGGATCATCCACGTCAGAATCTTCCGAGGCAATATGCAGCAGCCTGAGCTCCCGTAGGCCGCCGAATGAAGCTTGAAGATGTTTTTCCATCATGTACGGAAGTAGCGCCCTTGTTTCCATAAAGCGGCTGTTCCAATCCCAACTGCGCAGGCGGATCGAGCTTGATATGAGTGACGTGAAAAGACTTTCAGGATAAACCCATTTCGTCCTCTGCCAGAGAGGAAGACCGACAACATAGTCATCACTATGATAGAGGCGCAATGTTTTCAATTGGGGTGCTCTCTCTACCAACCTTGGCAGTTCAAAGTATCCCAGGGTCGGGCCACTTTTGTAAGATAGAAGGATCTCTGCGTCGATATGTAATTCTCTAATCTTGTTAACGTAATTGGTTGAAAGAGACTCCTGCGGTTTGGATAAGAGATTGAGCAGTCCGTGTGCTTTGGCGGCGGGTATCAGAGGGGGGCAGTGGTATAGAGCAGCCATCGCGGGCTCGTGGAAGGTGCGACAAAGCAGAGAGACATTCACAAGCCATTGTACTGAGCTGTTTCTGGTTGCAGTTTTCTCATCCACTAGAGGATATGCAGCGCTATAGAATATATCAAACAGGATGTGGTAAGGAAGAGCTTGCCAAGGGGGGATAACACCAGAGCCCACGAGCGGGCCAATATTCTCTTCCACTTTCCTTCGTTTATAAACAGGCCTACCCACTTCCAAGCGCTTATCATTAGAGGTTCTCTTTGATTGCTTAGTTCGAGACCTCGTTTCCACAATCCGTTTACGTTGGGGTCTATGTGGATTGCGGCGACTTGTTGGTTCGGTAAGCGGATACGTTCGAGTCGAGGATTCAACGGGCACTGAGGTCTCTGGCTCCTCACCGCTCGCACTTCCTTCAAAGTTGTCGTCCGTGGATTCTTCGCGATATGACACGGGCACGCGATTCAAATCGCGAGGGCGCAAAGAAAGAGAGAGACGTCTGGCTTGTTCGTCGTCGGAATCGGGGTCTTCATTAAGTCGATCTTCTGAGCTGCTTTCTTCATGGTACGATTGAACTTGCGTGCGGCTGGAGCGAACAGGACGAGATTGCTTGAACGGCCGACGGTGAGATGAGCCTATAGAAGGAGCCATAGCGAGTGGGCTGGATCGCCCTACGAACAATGAGGGGCGAAGCAGAAAGGTACTAAATTGCACATGATCTGCGAAATGCGACAGCGCTCGACCAAGAGCTCCAAGGGAGGCACTGGTTTAAGGTCTACTGCAGTTCGAGGCTTGACGTCAGGACCAAGAAAAATAAAGATTCTGTGACTTTGCAGCGACCGTATGATGGAGGTGAAGAAAGCCGAGGACTAATGAAGTCAATGAACCGTGAATGCTGCTCTGGAAGGAGTTCATGGGCAGGTTTATCGATAAGAAAATCAGAATCCGTCATTGAATGATGATGAATGGATTGCCTGATCGTCCAGGCGCGGCGCGGTGAAGTAACCCCCAATCAGAGATAGCGGAGCATGTGACTGGGGCCAAAAGACCAAGCAAGGCATTGACAGGCATCAACTCCCCCGCCCTGAGGCCACAACGCTAGGCCGGGATGGGCATCGAGGGGAATCCCGAAATAGAAACAGTCAGCTCCTCCCAGTCTATCATCGGCCTTCTTTTAAAGCGCCGCCGTTCTTCCAGCCACCTTCTCCTCTTTTCTTCCCCGTCGATTCCGTGGTGATGATGGCGCTCTGTTTCCTTCAAGGCTTCTGCCCACATGGATTGCAATTTCCGACATTGATTGTGTATGCGCTACCTACTATATAAATACTTGTCAATTCATGCGCTCGATTGGGCTGGTCCCTAAGCTAAGCGCGCCCATTTCGATCTAATTATAGCCTACTGTCTATACGCGCTCAATTTTGAAATCTTTGCTTTTGTCGTTACCCATACCTATGATACCCAGCTATCTACTCAGCACGCACCAATCGTCCTTATCTTATTGCGCCATTGTTTACTTGAGGGAGTCTTAGCTTGTTGACTCATGATGGAAAGCTCGTTTCCGAATGTCATGAATCCTTCGGAGAGGAGCGACTTAGGGGCACCGCCGATGGTTGTCCAGCAGTATGCAAGGTATCCACCTACGTTGGAACCTGGATTACATAGCGCTTCTTCCCTAGGCAGTGCTCGCAGCCGGATGGCGGCCTCCAAATCTCCCCCACTTCATCGCAAAGCAACTCCACGCAGTATTCAATCCTCGCCGACAGTTTCGCGACCGGCCATTCCCCCATCATCTGCTGCACGCTCGGGGCCATCGATGTCCCCTCCAGTGTACGATCCTCTCCGCCAGAGGCAACCACCTAGAGAGTCCTTAGACCAAGCAGAGTCCCGATCGCTGCCATCCCGTGACATTACAGATGAAACCATTGATGACGCTTACGTGATGTTCATTTTCTATTGTAATCCAAATGTGCCTCTGTCTGTAGACACTAGCGAGTTGCGAAAGACTTTCCGGTGTCCCCCACGGAGTGACGGCAAAAGCTTTAGTATCTTCACGCTCTGGGAACTTATTCGGAAACTAGACAGCAAAGAGTTGAAAACATGGATATCTTTGGCAACCGAGCTAGGCGTGGAACCGCCTGATTTGGAGCAGGGGCAAAGCACGCAAAAGGTCCAGCAATATGCTGTTCGCCTAAAGGTCGGTCGAGTGTTTTATCTTGTTGTAGGATCCTTACTAAATTATCATAGCGTTGGATGCGAGCGATGCATGTTGATGCTTTCTTTGAATACTGTCTTGGCCATCCTCATCCTTATTATACTCAACTTCCCGCCAACAATGCAGTGGTCAGCGAGAGCCGCGACGGAGTGCCTTTAGAGGAGGACCTTGCGTTACGCGCCCTCGTCCCTCAGTGGAAACCCAAGCGAGGTAGAAAGCGAGCGGACGAGAGGGAGGGTATGAATGATAGATTATCCAAACGGCCACAGCTCGATACCTCTGTGGGCATCTTACACACGAGTACATTCCCAGCTCACTCGGCGACTTTCCCTCAAAGTGCAATTCCATTTAGTGCCTTCCCTGATGAGATCGAGCCAAACGATCCGTGGATAGCAGCCACATCCTCATTTGGGGCGAATGGCCCGTCAGGGAACCCAGTTGCTCAGCAAGGCCAGGATCTTCGGTGGAGATCAGTTGATCGAGAGGCTTCACCTTCAAATTACCCGCACTCTGCAATTCTTCCTAGGGGTCACCATCCATCCGACGTATTTCTGCCTCCTACGGAGCCTCGGTCAGCGGTTACGCCGTCGTCCGAGAAGTCGCGCCCTAAACGGCGTCATGGCCCAGCTGTTTCATCTGCCTGGCCGACCAACAATGGATCGTCTACTGGGAAAACTCGGGGACGACCTCCCGGTCGCGGGACAACATCCGGCCCCTTTTCCTCTTTTCCAGTGAACCCTAGTCGCTCTGAGCCATCCCATTTACATAGCTCCAACGCAAGACCTCCTTCCACTGTTTTAGACCAGGATCCTTCCGGTCGCTATTCCAACGCTCAATACCAACAATCTCCTACACCCTTTCCTGGCGGTAATAGACCAAACAAACTTCAGCTGCAAGTCCCACAGCACCCAGGCGCGCCAGTCCGTCTCGCGACACCGCCAACACTAATGGTGAATGGTGTCAACAATGCATCATTTAAAATTGAGGGACAACAGCATAACAGCGCTTCAGCTCCCCCGCACGACACTCCCGGTGCAGCAACGAACGCGCCAACTGGTGCACATCGCAGTATCAACCCAAATGCGGACATTTCGTCCGATGAGCTCGTTCGTGTGCTCTCCAGTGACTTGCTGCGTGGAAAAGTGACTGGTCGCTCCACTCCTTTAAGTGCTGAAGAGGCCCGAACAATCTCTTTGTCTATGAGCGCTAATCTGACTGCTTCGTATTCTCAATTGCCTTTGGGGATGCCAGTTCTTTTGTCAGCTCTGCATCTTGGGTTAGGGCATCATTTTGGCTACCCTGGCGTAACAGAGAGTGCGATGACAATAGATATTAGAACGGCGACTGCGCCTTCCATCGATGCACAAGTGGCATCCAGCAATGAGGAACGCTCATCAAATTCCACCTATACTATCGTCCAGGAATATAAGCATGGACTTCGTTTCTCGACGAAGGTCACTTACGGTGATTTCAATATCAACAATCTGGAAAACAACAAGACCGGAAATGCGCCCGGAGTGACAGAGGACCTGGACAATAGTGTCGCAGATGTGAATAGCTCGACAGATGGCGAATTCGAAGTGGATGGTGCAGAGAATACTGTTCCTGAGATGACCTGGAAACAACGGTATATAAAGCTTCGCTCCCAGATGCAGAAAAAGGAGCGTGCCTTGTCCCAGTATAAGCGCAAGATTCTGGAGTCTGTAATGGCAGACATATAAGCCATTGCTACAGTGGTAGAATTCAGTGCGCTGGAAGACTGACTACCAGCTGCTTTGTTGTGTTGAGCATGTTATCTCATTTGCTTGCTTGATAGCAAGCTTCGTTCTTTAACTGATGTGATCTAGACATGATCTTCCATCTGTTTGCCTGGAAGCATTCTGTTCTGTGTTTAGTTTAGGTTTCTTACAGATACCCCTTGAGCGGCCTCGTTTCTTGTCTAAATTATAGCATGTTTATAGAGCAATACCTAAGACTGCACTGAGTGCTCTTTGCACATACTTCCATGCTCCTTACGTGAAGTAAATCTGGGCTTCTGTACTTCGTAGATTCTTGATAAAATAGGAGGACCCTGTCGACATGCTAAAGCAAGCCCCCAGTCTTCAAAACACTGGAAGCATATGAACCCATCTCCAACCGCAGCGAGAGAAAGTCAAAGCAAAAAGCCTAGCTTGAACACACCCAACCACCAAGCCAACAAGCCATTCTCAATAGTCTTCCTTCACCTTGAGAGGCTTTCCAGCCTCCGCGTCACAGTCCTTCAACCTGCACATACCCATCCCCAACATCAGTCAGCATTACAGAATTGATCAAATAAAGCATCATCACTAACCCTAAGGGCAGCCTCGTCGATCTCAGTTTCCTCTCCAGAAGAAGGCTCTTCAACCTTTGCCAAGTCAGTCCTTTGCCTAACCAGAATTTCCGCGAGGGCAACGGCAACCACCTTCATCGCTTTCCCCTTCTGGGCAGCTGCTTTCTTTGGCACTGCTGTCTTCGGTGCAGCCTTGCGCTTCGCGACCGATGACTTAGTAGCCTTTTTGGGGCTTGGAGTTGGGGTATCAACTGCGGATCCACCGCCAGGGGCGTTGCTGCGGCCTTTTGAGAGACGCTCGTAGCGTTTCGCGCTAGTTTATCATTCAGAACTGCTTTAGACAAAAAATACTTGGGAAACGGAGAAGCAGCAGGGACTTACGCAGCTCCTCTAGAGACGATGCTGCATTCTTTCGCAACTTCTCCGAAATCAACCTGTGAGTGATGCAAAGTTGCGTTGTAATCAGTTCTGGGTGCTCTAAAGTTGGAGAGATTTTGGACGGAGTGTGTCGGCTGTGTAAACAGTATCTGCGTGTGTGCTCTCTTACCTTGCCGCTGTTTGCGTGACGGACACAGCTAAGGAGGAATTCAATCTGCTCCGAGTCGGTGATGGTGGGCAATTTGAGTAACTTTTTCTCGAGTTTGATGTTACCCTTCTAAGGTGATAATAAACTGAAAAGAGTCTTTCAGTGTACGCTTCAGTAAGCTTGTTGGGGGAGTAGTTGAGTAAACAGAAGATGGATGATACTGGAAGGCAAGAGGTTTGAAGGGGAAGAAAGAGAAAAACAACACTGGGGTTGCATAGACAGAAGACAGGTAGTTGCAATGACATGCGCGGTGCAGTGAATAAATCCAGTACAGCGGCGATGCGTAAGTTCATTTGTCAACCCTTCTTGTCTTGAATGAAGCGTGAGAGATGTGCTTCACTTTCTAGACTCCGCATTGAGCCATGCAAACGTTGAATAGAAAGTGGTTCTTTAGATCTACTCACACTAAATTCAAATCCTACTGAATGGCTTACAGATGTTATTTTCACTACAATGTCAGTGGGAGTCAGCTCTCTTAGCTGGGCCTTATGTAGTTTCGAGAATCAACCGGTGGCTATCGTTCTCAATATGTAACAACTTGTTTGCCTGTCCAATAACCTCAGTATCAAACCGGGGATGTAGATAAACTGCTGTACGAATAAAGCACAAAACCAAACCTCCTTTCACATGCTACTTAGAGTCCGTCAGAATCATAAGTAAGACCCCACCGATCATCTGAAGCCCTTCAATGGAGAGAATAAAATCAAAGCGGCGCAGCATCTACTAAGAAAAATTATTCGTAGGCACCGTAAGTCGAATGATGCAGGACTCACAAAAGGACAAATTTCCGGCAGATGCAGAACACCCATCTACGCCATTTCAAAGCCCTTGCGATCCTCATATATCTCCATCGCGTCATTGACCGCGTTAAGAAGATTAACGTCAATGCTCTCATCCTTCAAAATTTCAGTCTTGACCTTCGACTCTGGATTTGCCTTGGAATGCTTGCTTCCCCTAGGAGCTCCAAGCTCAATAGCCGGGATAGGAGTAGAAGTTACTTTGGCTCCCTTCCTGATCCCCTTCTTAAGTGCTGCCTTGATCTTGGGTACTTCAACTGCGATAATGGTTTCGGCCTCAGAATTGTCGGTGATGAAAGGGTCTTCGGGTTCGGTCTTGGTCACGTTTTTCTTTCTTCCACCACCGGGGCCCTTGCGCTTGCCTTGTCCGGGGGAAGTGATTGGCATAGAAGCAGCTGAGGTAGTGTTCACATTTGATGGCTTAGTGGTAGCCTCGAGATTGAGGAAGCCGTACCGCTTGCGAATGGCACGGAACCTGTTGCCGACAGATGCAGTGTTGGTATAGCCCATCGCGGCTCCAACATTGGTCAAGTTGACCTGAACAGATGTCAGCTATGCCAGTTCGAATGGTGGTAGGGCGTATTCGTGGAATATTTTGCTTACACTCCTGCTTTCGTCAATGTTTCGCAGGCACTCGATAATAAACCGGCCATCTTGTTGGCTCAAAAATTCGCCCTCTTCGGGAGTAGCACTCTGGCCGGATGCCATGGTCTCAGATGGCTGGTCGTGGGGGTTAGCTCGATGGTGGGGAACTTTAGCTGGAGGCAATAATATGATAGAAAGTCACCAATATATTTAGTTAACCATGAAAATGATGTGAAAACGGCACGTGGGTGTGAAGATGAATGGATGTTGAACTGTAGGTGAGAAACACACTGGAAGAGATGAGAATATCAGTGGTATACTTTCTCACGCAAGGGATTGACTGATTAGAGAATAGTATTTGAGGCTTCTTCCAGTTTGATAGATGTTGGTCCAGTGTCCTAAGATTGTGTCATTGGTTTGGTGAATTGAGATGACAGCCGCAACGGCGATAGGGAGGCGTTATTAGAGAGACAATATGATACGACCAAATCACTTTCTATGTAATAAAGAAACACATGTAGGATTTCAACTAAAGTGTTACATGTGGGATCAAGTAGAGATCATTATGTACGATTGCCCACCGGCACCATGTCTCTTGCTAACAAATCCTGCGGTGTCCTTTCAGGTAATGAAAGTCCAAGTCTACTCTAAAGGACATAGTAGCCATCTCTAACATAGTGCTGTAGCATCTAAGACAAAATTTCTCAAGAAACAAGTACAAAAGCTATTACAAATCCGTATACAAGGACACAAAAGACCTCATCAATCCTTAGGCTCTTCAACAATCTTCAGTCCAGGCTCAAATATTCCACAGAATTCCACCTCGCTGCAGCTTGCATTCACCACTTCCACTTGTGGTTCTTCCACTTTGACAAAAACGTCACTCAACATATGATCCTCATCCGCCTCTAACTTTATAGGAGGCCAGGAATAAGCTGGACTCGGTTGGTGCTCGAAACCAAGTGTAGGGCTCAAGAAGCTCGGTGTCGCACTGTACGTTGTCAATTCTGTGGGAGACACTGTCATTTGGGAGTAAGGAGGGGTGATTGTCTGGGCAGGTGAACCCGATATTATATGATATGTGACGCCGGGAATATCGGTCAAAGCAGGAAATCCTTGGCCATGTGGATCGGTCTTGATGTAAGGAGTTGGCTCGCTTGAAGACGCCCGAGGTTCTTGTTTGAGAACCGGTTTCATATCAGAAGAATCGGCTTCTTTCAGCAAGTCTGCCTTGCAAGGGCTTAATTTAGACCTATTCGGGCTTTTCTTGGTACGAGCCGCGCGGGGCGTTGATGTGATGCCTTCCATCTGCTGTCTGAAGCGAGAGTAACGCATTCGGGCTGCATGACCGTTGGAAATTTCGAGTTGATTTGCAACGAGTCCCCAGTCAATCTGTTCAACTTCTTAGCCGGCTCATTTGTTTTAGCTCTGAAAGTCAACATACTGATTTGAGATCGAGCTGTTTGATGATGGTATATAAGAACTTGACTGTCGGGCCATCAGTCGGCATGGCTTTGCTACGCCGGGCAGTGGACATGGCTGCAAGTTTGAATGGCAGAGAGCGCACAGTCGAATGAGTAGTTTAACTTTGCTAATGAAGCGCTTAGTAGATGCTCAGGATGTGCTGGGATATTAAAAATCGAAAGTTGACAGAAGAACATGCACTCTGGCGCACAGAAGGTGGCATATATAATTATTTCCTCCCATATATTCACCCCTTAGTGTTAACAAGAGCGGTAATTGAAAACAAAGATATGTTGTCATACTACTAGTACTGTTAGACTTAACTGAGAGAAGTAAAGGACCTTTGTCACCAACAAAGAATGAACGGATAGCTTTGTAGTTCCAGAGACGCCATTTGCATGTCTTATCTCCCAGACCCTGGCAAATAAAGGAATACTTTACCAGGCAAGATAAATTGGGTTCTGGCCCATCTATTTCACTGCAAGTACAGCACAACAAATGCAGGGTCCCTTTGGGACTTTGTGTACGAGTATCACGTGGATTTGTTTGCCCTGAATCAACTATAAACCTAAACCCGCAGGCAAATAGCAGATATTGTTGATCTTGGATTGTCTTGTAGAGAATATTATCCTACTTAGTAAAGGATAAATGAAACAGAAATACATCTAGGCAGGGTAGAATAACTGTGACCGCATAAATATACACGTTTTTATTAGTTTCTTACAAAATATTCTGTGTACCTTAATCATTCATGAATATAGTGGAAATAGCACCTATATTTAATAGCCATTGTTCTTTGTAGGTTGAATATTAGTTCCTGAATGTGTTTGCTTCAGGAGTCTAAAACTTGGTCTCTCATTCCCAGCCATGTCTGCATGATTAGGATAATGGCAAATGTAGAGTATACTATTGACCATTCTCCGTCTTCAGTTCTGCAGTTATCCTGTATGGTATTCTACGGTAAGGGGCAATAGCAATTCCTTAATGCCCACAACGGTAATTTGATGTCTAAAGACACTTATTGGTGTATGATAGCTTATATTACAAGATGATTTATTATATTTGCTGATATTCTAGAAAAACAGAACAATTTCCGTGTACCTCAAAAGTAGGGTTTGATATGGCTGTAGTTAGTTAGAGGGTGGGTCATGACTAATCCTATCAACGACTGCCCCTCCTCCCCACATACTCACAAACGCTCATACATCTGCGTATCCAGTAATTGCCGCAAGAGGTTTTGTAAGAAAATTGAGCACTCTGCTGTCAAAATGTCTTTAGTCGCCATAGGTGCATGCTATGTTGATACTATCTTAACGTTGGTTGGCACCACCTTCACCCGGCGCCTAAGTCCACACTAGCTCATTATGTTTGCCCAGAACCCCTCATTACCCTGGCGAAGATGAAAAGCTACGCGCTACCAGTATCTCACGGCGACGAGGGGGCAATTGCCCTAATACTCTGGAAGTACTCCAACAATTGACAGCGCATAGCCCGTCGCAGACAGGGGTATCGCTGAATCTTATTACCATTCTGCCAGCAAAATCTTCTATTGCGTCTCAGCAAATCCAGTCTGCCTTTGAGCCTCGTGTTCAGCTCACCCATTGTATCTATCGAGAGCAATATGCAGAGCCAGCTTCAAGTTATATCATCAAAAGCCAGTCCTCTGGGAGCAGGACTATTGTTAACTACAATGAGCTCCCCGAGATGACAGTGAATGAGTTAAAGCGAATCGCAGACGACCTGGGCTCAAAGGCCACATGGTTTCATTTTGAAGTCAGTCAACCCTTTTTATATTCCTTGGCCTCATCATTCTTATGAATCGTAAATCTAGGGTCGCATACCTGATGTCACGCTGGCCTGTATACAATATCTTCGGCAACAGTTTCCATCTTTGAAAATCAGTGTCGAAGTAGAAAAGCCTGGACGAGGAGGCCTACAAGAGCTGGCTATGGAAGCCGACGTTGTCTTCTACTCGAAGAGCTGGGCTCAGGTAACCTCGCTCGCGCTTACAATGTTAGACTTTTGACTAAGAATTAAGCAGGGGAATGGTTACACGTCAGCCAAAGAGTGCCTCCGGAAACAATCTCTACTTACACACAAAGCGTAAGTCTCAGGGTTTCTTTGCACCGTCGCCCAGAGGCTGACTCGAAATATCAGGCAACTTCTCTTCTGCACATGGGGTGAGGATGGGGCTGTAGCGTTAGAGACAAGTTCTGGTGACGTGATTCACAGTCCAGCTTATACTGCACCAGACTTTAAGGTTGTTGAGTAAGTGACTGAGAAAAGTGCGCTACTGAGCCAATCTCGCTAACACTATGTAAGCACTATTGGTGCTGGAGACACATTTATAGCCGGTATGCTCCATGCGTTAATTTATCAAGGCGATGCTTGGAGCCTTTCACAAAAGCTAGGTTTTGCAAATCGGGTAGCAGGCATGAAAGTAACGCAAGAAGGCTTCTCCGGTTTGGAAAGGGCGTTGAACTCATATCCTTAAATCAGGGCTTTAACGCATGTACGTAACATACTGTACCATATCGAAAACAGATTGAACCTCCCTGTGAGGTACAAATTTATGAAAATACAAAATTGGATTCATAAAATGTAGTGAGAGATCAACACAGGTTACGAGTATATATATTTGAGAGTTAGCGATAGTACTTGCACTTAGCTGGACTTCCTTATGCGATATTATTCAACCATCTATCTTGAATCAACAAATACTTGCAGCAAATATAGTTTGACCACAAATACACAACTGCCTGCTAGAATGTGGGTTTGATGGTGCTTTGGTAGTACTAGTAGATACTTCTCATGAATTGCCTTTTTCGGCAGTATCACGTGAAAGATAAACTACGGCGCAGAGATTTGGAAGGCGGTAAGGTCCAGAAAAATATTCTGCCCGCAACTTTTTTGGAAGCTTTTTGCTGCGCTGATCGACAACTTAGATTTTCTCTATTTCAGTTTATTCCCCAATTCAAAATGGCGGCAGTATATAAGTCAGTGTCTAAGAAACAGGCTAAGCAGCTTGCCAGAGAGCAAGAGCAGGACGACTCAGACGCAGAAATGGCTGAGATGGCTGACCTTCTCGCCGACGCCGACGATACAAGCGACAGCGAAGAAGAGGAGGAAGAAGATTTGGAATCAGCCAAGAAGCAGCTTGCTGCTGGATATATGCCAAAGACTCGGGTTCTTATGTTGACTTCCAGGGGTGTCACATCTCGGTATGTTCATAGTGTCTTGGTCCTAATTGAACAAAAGGAACAGTATTGCTGATCGGTTTTGATACTAGCCATCGGCACTTGCTTGCAGACCTTACCGGTTTACTCCCTCATACCCACAAAGAAAGCAAACTCGATACTAAAAAGAAGACCGCTGGATACAACTTACTTTTGAACGATCTCGCTGACCTTCATTCCTGCAACGTTATTTTCTTCCTTGAGGCTCGCAAGCGTGGTCAAGATTTGTACCTCTGGCTCGCTCGTCCCCCGAACGGACCTACACTCAAATTCCACGTTAACAATTTACACACTATGGGCGAACTGAATGCTGGATTCAGCGGCAACTGCTTGAAGGGTGGCCGTGGTGTTGTGGTTTTTGATCGCTCATTCGACGAACAAGGCCCGGTTATGAGCCAGCCAGGCAACGAGTACCGTGGACTGGTCCGGGAGATGCTGCGGGGTGTCTTCTCCGTCCCTAAGCGTGGTGTCAAGGGAATGAAGCCTTTCATCGATCGTATCATTGGTGTGTTTGGCGTCGACGGCAAGATCTGGATTCGCGTGTACGAGATCAGAGAGTCCGAAGGTGGAGGCAAGAAGAAGCCTGAGGATGGTGAGGAAACCGTGAAGCCTGTACCTAAGGGCAAGGATGGTCTACCAGAAGTTTCGCTTGTCGAGGTCGGACCTCGTTTCGTTTTGACCCCGATTGTCATCCTGGAGGGCAGCTTCGGCGGTCCTGTTATCTACGAGAACAAGGAATACGTGAGCCCGAACCAGGTCCGTCACGATATTCGTATTAGCAAGGCAGCCCGCCACGCGAAGCGCAGAGACGTGCAAACCGACCGTTTCGCTAAGCGGACAAATTTGGGATTGGGAGAAGGCCAGCGCAAACCAGATGCATTGGACAACAGGCAGTTGTTCGCATGATTGCTTGCTTTATTCCGTTTACTTTTCATTCATTTTGTCTCTTCTTGTTAGTGCTATTAGACTCGATATCCTAAGGGGATGTACATGTGTTTGAGATGCAAGGGGCACCTTATCATGGTCTAAAAGGCGTCTGGTGTGAAACAACATAATAAAAGTTCAAATGTCATGATAAATTCCGATCCAAGTCCTTCCACCGGCTGGTAGAAGTCGCTCATTTTTTAGGCTGAATTATCGCATTAGGGCATAAGTGCTGCAGAAACCATGCGCATTTGACTGAATATGGTACCATAGCAACCAGATATTGGGCTTTGTTTATCCTTAGAAGTTCGTACATCATAAACTATGAATGATGTGAGATTTAGCTGTAGTTAGTTAAGGGCGGAGATTAGATAAGCGCTGCCATATAACTAAGAGTCATAACATCCGCTTGGGGCTTGACTCCATCCCTCCGTCAACCACCATGGCACCATTCTTGCCGTTTAGCCCTCTGCGGCTGTCTGGGCTTGACCTCCATATCACCATGTGTTCTTGTTTCTCTAGGGACCAGATTTGTTTTGTTTTGGACAGCCCCAAGGGCGGGGTCTCGACTTAGTCCAACTTGCGATCGCGAGGGCAGCGCTGGCTTGGGCAGCGACTGTCCACTATATTACACAAAATCCACTATCCAGCTGTGTTATCTAAACTACCTACCTTTTGCGTTGCTATAGTAAGCTAGCAAGGTTCGGGTCCCAAGCTATGTTTGGTGGTGACCACGGCTAACGAGTGTAGCGCAAAACATATAACAGCGATGCCATTGAATCATCTAGCCACGGAGCTATTGCTCCATGTATTTCGTTCCTGTCAAACAATTACCGACATTTTAAGTCTCGCATCATCCTGTCGACGACTTCGTACTGTCTTTAACAGATCCAATAAGCTCCAAATTCTCACCGATATTGCCGAGCGTGAATTCGGACCAATAGAGGAGATCGTCCAAATTGTAACGCAAAACGCAAGCCAACCAGCTCACTTAATACGCAAGCCTCCCATGACCAACCCCCTCTTCAAACAAATAGTCCAAGTCGGACGCGTAGCTCGGAAATGGGAGACAATCTATCCCGTCAAAAAATGGAAGGTGGATTATGAAAACCGACGATCATTGACAGATGACGAGCGATTCCGCCTCCGCCGAGCTATCTATCGCCTATGGCTTTACCATCGCGCATTCCATACGCGTACGCATGATCGCTTCAGCCGTAAGCTCCCACATGTTGTCACCGAGCGCGCGCTGCTCCTGCATAATTGGTCTACGCAGGAGCTGGGTGATATCGAGGACGTGCGTCTCATTATCGCCGATGTCGTCCAGAATCATATTTGTCCTAGTAATGGAACGATTCAGCGAAAGTTTCGCAAACGGTTCCCCGAAAGTCACCACCAGTTGGCATTCAACATCCATCTGAATTACCCAGCGCCCGGCCCTCTCGGGTCTCCCGGGCTCTTTGATAGCCCGAATTCGGTCGACCAATACTATCATACCGCGCATGCTGCCAACTTTACTGAGTCGCCGGCGAAATATAGATCTAGGTTCCGGAATGACTTTTTTCATGATCCCGGCGCCGAAGGCTGGGGCGATGAGATCCCTCACTACTACGTGGTCCAGGATATGATGAAGCTTGATCCAGGCCAGGTGCTCTGGCTGCGCGAACATGCGCCCCTGAAAGAACAGGTAGAGGGCTATGTGCACTCCCTGGGAGACTGGTTTCGCGACAATGGAGAGACATTCGGGGATACACTCGAATGGGTGATGAAAGAGAGAGGCGACGATATCGAAGAGTTCAGGGCGGCCATTTCAGACCGGGAGGTAGGAATCGTGTGGGATTAATGCATAGCATATTTGCGCTATGCACTACTCAAACGTATTACGGAGCTACCAGTGTACCTATGTAGTGTTGTCACAACCGTATCTCCATGAAGAACCTTTTCATAAGCAAGCAAGGGTACAACATCCATCTAAAAATCAGGGATTCCACCAAATAAATTCCGCATGAACAATTCACCTCCCTACAGTAATTTCCAATCCTCCCAAAAATAGAAAACGCCAATATAATCCAATCTCCCATCCACAGGTTCGAACTTCGGCCGTTATCCAAACGTTCTGGAATCCAAATAACCTAATTAAACCCTCCCCCCCCCCCCCAAAACCCCCCTGATCGGCCCACCCTAAACCACACTGGGGGTCGAGAATCCGACGCTGTCGACTGGGGCGCTGGGGCGCGAACGGCAAACGCAGAGAGCTAAAGAATCAAGAACCAATGGGGGAGTTTGCGGTGGGTTTGCGGACTCCAGCGTGGAATTTAGGTACTAGGGCTAGAGTGCTTAGTGCGCGCTGTCTTGTGGGGACCTTTTTTTTCTCTTGTCACAGAATACTCCATATAAATATCTGGTATGGAAAAGATACGTAGGATTATAGGGAATGTCATGTAAAGATGATGGTGCAGCAAGTGAGGCGAGTTGTTGCTGACTCTGGCCATGGATCTGGTTTAGCCTGATTTTTTGGTTTGCTTATGGTACATGGACAATCCCTGGTATTCGAATTTCATGGACCTCGCGCATTTTGACGTGGGGCTCCCGCTGTTTGGTCGGTGGGCCTTTCGGACCGCCGAGGTGTTGATGCTCATTATATTCCGCTTACGATGATACTTTTAGGTGCTAGTTGATATTAGTATCTGCGACATATGCATGGGCCGCATTAATAATTGCTAGTTAATAGGCTGGTGGTGAAACGGGGCTATTGCCGCTGGATTTAGTGATTGCTCATGCTGTAATTCGTGATTGCCAACCCATGATAACCTCATACACGAACTGCTTTGGCACTGTCCTACGTAGGCACCGAAAAAACAAACCCAAACTTCGTTTCGATAATTGACCAGAGTGTGAGAAGGGTACATGGGATGAGGTAGGAAAAAGACAGAGAAGGCCAAAGAAGTGTGCCAAGGCGAACACAGGTCTGTAGAAGACAGAGAATAGGAAAATTGTCAATTCCATAAAGGGATAAGAACGAACTAGATAAAAGAAAAGAAAGGGAAGGGGAGGAAAATCAACAAAATGATGTCTAGGATGTGATGTCCCACAAGCATCACCATACAATGACCGTGTCCCTGGATGCCGTTCCCAACGTTCCTCTTGTGTATCATCTCCGCGGAGGCTAAGTAACAGACAAAAAGAAAGATCAAGACCATTCGATTATCACATCACAGAATAAAATAAAAATCGTTGCGGTAGGCGTGTCATCCCCTAACAGTAAGAAATCATCTAACAGCAACCCTGCTTCGTCTCAGGATCCTGCGAAGGGTTGATGTCCACCACCGGACGACGGTCACCAAGACCGGCCTGGCCCGAGTCGCCACTGTCAAGAGCCTTGCTGGACACAATCCGGTAGATTTCTAAGCGCGCGTCAGCATCACGGAAAGAAAAGTTGGGTAAAGGCGTATATTTCTAACCTGTGAGGATGTTCTGGAAAGCAAGCTCAACGTTGCTCGCATCAAGGGCAGATGTCTCGATGAAGGAGAGGTTGTTCTCGCCTGAAAGCAAGTTAGCGAGCCAAGGATAAAGCCAACTCACGCTTCAAGTAGGTGCCCGAAACTTACTGGCAAACTGCTTAGCTTCCTCGGTTGGCACAGCGCGCAGGTGTCTCAAATCACTCTTATTTCCCACAAGCATGATGACAATGTTGGAATCTGCATGATCTCTCAGTTCTTTCAACCACCGGTTAACATTATCGTAGGTTTGATGCTTGCTGATGTCGTAAACGAGAAGGGCACCGACGGCACCACGATAGTAGGCAGAGGTAATGGCGCGGTAACGCTCCTGACCAGCAGTATCCCAGATCTGCGCCTTGATCGTCTTAGAATCGACCTGAATAGAACGGGTTGCGAACTCCACGCCAATGGTCGACTTGGAGTCCAGGTTGAACTCATTGCGGGTGAAACGACTCAAAAGGTTGGACTTTCCAACACCAGAGTCTCCAATAAGCACCACTGTATGATAAGTACCGCAAGTTAGTGGTGTTATTCAGCGAGGGGAAAGTCTTTATATGCCTGGATCTTTCGGCGCTTCTGCGGGGGGGAGTGGCAACTTTACCCTTGAAGAGAAACTACCGAATCACTCAATTAGTTATACAAGACAAGCACGTAGCGAAAGGATAAATAGAAAAATGACGTACATCATACTCGTCGTTAGCCATACTGAATGGTTGTGAGAGCTTGTTAAGCCCTGAAGGTGGTGGGGGTTTGAAATTTGGGGGGACCTTGACGTGGCTGAGTTGAATAGTGATTAGAGCAAAACCGACAACAGTGGGAACGTTGATCCTGTGGGTGGTGGCGTCTCGTCAGTTGACTGTGGAAAGTTGCAAGATAAATAGTAGCCTGAGGCGAACCAAGACCACCAGCGAAAGGATAGTCAAATAAAAACTTACGGCGGTGGTGTGTTTTTTATGGCAAGGGGAAGACAGCGAGGCAGAAAGATAGGAGGTTATCCAGATGTCTTTCGCTCCCGTGCTTCGTCGCGCTGCCGAGCGGACATTCCCGATTTGGGAATAGTGGCAGGTCACGTGTGTCTCTCGTCTTTCAGGCACTAGACCCTTCAATGAAAATCATATGCCAGAGTGCGACAACAAGAGGCGCTAGGATTACTGTCTCCTAAGTATGGTCATGGCATACTTTTGATGTATATTATGTCCATGATTTATTCCACATGTTCATTATCGGCCTTTGCCGGGGACTTATTGATTATCGGGCGGGCATAAACCTAGTTTTTCTACTATCTATGGTGGAAGCGATCATACTAGTAGTTTGACCCATATCTTTGCCCTTTTTATTTGACAAGCCACTTCCTTTGGTTCTGTTCGTCAAACTCGATCTATACACAGATTTCCTGCTGCACCCCTGTCACCTCAGACACTGCTGCTCTGACAGCGGTGCTCTTTTGTTGCAATGACTGAGGTTAGTGATGATGATGATATCTCTCTCACCTCAACTGTCCCTAGCCCACCGAAGGAGAATTACTATGTGGATACTATTCACGCCGAGCGTGAAACTTCCCAGGGAACCGAATTTCTCGTAGGATGGGAAGATTATCCTATCGAGAGGAGCAGTTGGGAGACAGCTGCCCAGTTTGATGATGAGCAGACTCTGCTCGACTGGGAGGAGAAAAAGAGAGAGATTGCAGCGGGAAGGCTGCAAGAGTTTGATCTCACTTATTTCAACAGACGCCTGCATGAAGCTGAACTGGCCTGCCAA